TCGGATTAGCCAGATCATTTACCTATGTACATTTAATCGATCTTGATTGCACCTGTGTGCTTTAAAATCACAGTATTAATGAAATACAGGGGAAGTCCATGGGGGTCACCCCCACCCCCTCATGTTTGAAAACTTGTAAAAATTGTCGAGATCCCCATCCCTTAACCATATATATTCTTGCATGGCCTGAGCATGGGACAATAAAACAAATCAAATGAAATATAGGTGAAGTCCCTGGGGGTCACCCCACCCTCCTTCAATTTGAGAATGTGCTTTTATCTTGTAAACGGTCGAGATCCCCAGCCCTAAACCATATATATTCTTGTATGGGACAATAAAACAAATCAAACGAAATACAGTGGAAGTCCACGGGGGTCACCCAACCCCCTCATGTTTGAAAACTTGTAAATGGTCGAGATCCCCACCCTTAACCATATATATTCTTGCATGGGACAATAAAACAAATCAAATCAAATATAGGGGGCGTCCCTTTATGTCAACACCACCCCCTCCTGTTTGAAAACTTGTAAATGGTCGAGATCCCCACCCCTGAACCATATATATTCTTGCATGGGACAATAAAACAAATCAAATGAAATATAGGGGGCGTCCCTTTGGGTCAACACCACCCCCTCCTGTTTGAAAACTTGTAAATGGTCGAGATCCCCACCCCTTAACCATATACATTCTTGTATGGAACAATAAAACAAATCAAATGAAATATATGTCCTGTGACCATGGGAATGACGAATTATGGGAGCTTTGTTTGGGAGACTTCGTAACAGCATGCTGTTACAATTATTTCTTGTTTTTAGTACATCCAATGGGCAATAAACCAATTAACAACCACACGGTGTTGGGAGAGAATCTTTGGAGGAATTTGGGAGTTAAATCTGCAGTACGCAGTGTGACTCCAAAAAACACGGAAATCGGAAAAAAACGATCTCGTTCGATCCGTTTAAATGGTACAGTACTTGTATCATGCATTTTATGTATACATTTAACATGATGATTTTGTCTGTATGATTGAGTATTAGAATAAGAATATTTAATTATTCCTATTAAAGGGCCCGTTTCCAAGCATATACATATACATAAAATATTAATTATACAGTAATTTTAACATGTTTAAAGATATATTACATTAAAAATAAATGATTGAATAACTATACTCCACCCTAGATGGTGTTTGAAAATAAATAAAAAAAATATTATGTCTTTCTAAACATTGCTAAAACAAATTAGACTCGAGCTATAATACATATAAAATAAAAATGAAAAATAAACTACATCAGTCACTACTACATGTATATTTAGTTTTTGGAATACAAATTTTCTCTTATTTCAAAATAAGTACTTATAAATAGGTATAAGATAATAGTGTACTACAGGTACTCATGTTATCACACATATATAAACAAATAAATCAGAGGTTCAACTTTTGCTGATAAAATTCATAACACTCTATTGTTTACATTGGAAGGTTAAAATATAAAACGAATATGACTAATATTATTGAAAATTAAATGTAAGAGAATTTGAAAGCTCCTTGTATAAATGTTTTTTTTTTTATTTTGACACTCATGACACTGTTTTATATATATTAAATGTATCTCATCTTTGTGCATGTTGTGTGTCATCTGTAATCTGGTTTAATTACTATTGCATCAAAATTATTCACATTTATACTACATTTATTTGTACTAAGTAAACTAGAAGTAAACATGATTAAAATATAAAACAAAAAACTTTTGCCCAAGACCATAAAGACAGCATGAATATTCTGTCAGGGACTACCAAATGCAGGAAATAGTGGTGATTAAGCAATGTTAAGAGTGAAAATTATTTTTGTTCAATATACATTTTTTCCTTAAATATATCTTTTAAATAAAATTGAGAATGGAAATGGGGAATGTGTCAAAGAGACAACAACCCGACCAAAGAGCAGATAACAGCCGGCTGCAGCTGGCCCCTAAACAAAAATGTATACTAGTTCAGTGATAATGGACGTTATACTCAACTCTGAAATATATAAAAGGAACTAAAATTAAAAATCATACAAGACTAACAAAGGCCAGAGGCTCCTGACTTGTGACAGGCGCAAATGTGCGGCAGGGTTAAACATGTTTTTTTGAGATCTCAACCCTCCACCTATACCTCTAGCCAATGTAGAAAAAACAAACACACATGTATATCATGTATATACTCATGTTAAAATTAAGAAATAATTCATGGAAGCCAATAGATTTGTTGGCAATTTACACATGGCCCAGGCCATGTTTAAATTTACAACAAATCTATGGCTTCCATGAATTATTTCGATTCTAATAGGACAAATACGGTCATTAAAAAACTGAAGCGGGGGTGGGTTCGCAGTGTGTGTGGTTGTTCCTTTTTACTCCCTGTTAGATAAAGCTATAACATTCTAATAAATCTGTAGCTTGCATGAATTATTTCGTAAATAACCGCCAGAAAAAATGTGTTTAGTTCTTTTAATTATCAAATCCTACATTTGCCATTTTTTATTAACTTGTTTTTCTCGTAAGCTACCGTCAAATCCTAAGTTGACATTTCGTAACTAAGGAGCCGCCATGTTGACTTACTGAAATTCGTTAATATGCAAATAATGCAATAGGATAGAAAATAAAACAAACCCTACCTCAAAAATCCATTTTAATGCAATTTTATACGAACTTCAATGGTTCACGTAACGGAAAACCTTCAGCTTTAGCGATTTCATTTGTATGACGTCATGTTTTGAAATGACTTAAATGCGCCAAAAGCATTAATGGACTTTCGTGGAATTTTATTTTATTTTTGTTTTATAGATTTCTCTGAGCTCTAGTGCATTAATTCTTTTTGTTATGCATCCGAATAAGAATAGAAGTTCTGTAGTCATTTTTCTATTGCAAATTTTAAAATAATAAAATCGTAATAGCGTTTGCAAATAGGTTCCGATACATGTGGATTTACGTAGGAGGTATTTTGTAACATCCATTATTATGTATATCTCTGAGTCTGCGCTAAGTATAGATATATCGAGTATTTTATCACGGTGTTGTTTACAAAGCGAAAGCAGCACGTCATATTAGAATTCTTGTTCTTTATCATGTTTATATCTAGTTTTATCATGTTTATGTACACATAATCATAGCAAAGCCTTCATTGGTTATTGACTGCATGCAATCAAAATCTAATTTAAGCTGCATGTCAACATAAATCCCCTTATGGAACTTTTTAATTCGATTAACCTACATGTAGGTGTAGTATTTGCTAATAATGTCATGAATATATTTCATTACAGAAAACTAGACACTTTCATGACCTTCAGTCAGGGCTACTACTTGTACAAATAATCTATATTTACTTGAAGAAGTAAAAAAAAATATACTGATATAAGTTAATTATAATGTTTGAATAATCTCCCCTTATTTTTCTTAAAATATATTTGTACAAGTTATTTTTTTTTACAATCCCACAAAAATTCTCAAGTTTTGAGATGTTAAAACATGCCTTTAATGATTTTTTTCCAGGTTAGCTCATAATTTTCAATTAGAGTTCAATGGTTCATCTAATTAATTCAACAAAGAAACTGATTGCTCAAAGATCTTAGTTATTTGCTCAAGGGAGTCAAGGCCTTCAAAAATTGCCCCTTGGGGGCTTGTAAATGAGCAGTGTTCTGAAGATTGACCATTTGCTGACTGACCATTCAAATATTGTGGATCACTTATTTGTGTAGGTACATATACATGTACCAATTTTTGTGGATTAAGGAAAAAAGCCTGCATATATGCAATGAACAAGCCTATGGAAAATATGTACTTCTTTGAAAACATTTAAATTCATGGCTCACTTGAACCAGCAAAAGCCTTAAAAATTGATATCACACAAATAAAAAAGAAGATGTGGTATAAAATCCACTGTAGTCAATATATTTTGTTTCATTTTCATTTAAATACATGTTATAGGACAATTAAGAAATTTCATGACCATTGAATAGAGTATTATCTAGATGACGACTGGTTCCATTTGGATAGTTTAGAATTTAGATGTTTTAAAACCCTGCATGTGTTATATGCTCTCTGTAATTGCACATATGGCAAAAGAAATACATTGTTTATTAGGGAGCTACCATTTCATTTTTATGGGGGGGGCTAGGATGAAAAATTTTGTCCTGCATTTTTTTTAGTTGTAATCTCTGTCCTGCCTTTTTATTTTTCACTCTATTCAGTCCTGCCTTTTTTTTTAAAGTTTATCCTGACTTTTTTTTACCTAAATTATCCTGATTTTTTTTTTTTGCAAGTTTCTCATCCTGCCTTTTTTTTTACTCAAAACTCCTGTCCTGCCTATTTTTTTCAAATTTCATCCTAGCCCCCCCATAAAAATCAAATGGAAGCTCCCTTATTGTTTTACAGCTGTCATGAATGGCCTGGGTGGCAGTGTGATCTATAAAGTACATGTACATGTAGTTCAATAACTGTATCACTAACCTCAGTTACCTGTCAACATTGAGGTTGTCAGATCAAAACCTTAATCATGTTAATTATTTTATCCCCGCTTAAAAAAAGTAGGGGTATACTGTTTTACCTCTGTCTGTCTGTCAGTCCATCCGTCTGTCCTTCCATGAATATTTTAATTTCATCACATTTTTCTCAGGAACTACATTACAAGGGTTTCTGAAATTTGGTTTCAGGGTTTATATAAGTCAGTTATACCGTGTGAAGAGTTTTCAGATTCATCACTGAACAACTTCCTGTTTACGGAACACTTGTATCATTTTACACATGATAGCCAAGTTGAAAATTTTTCGTAACATTTTTCTCAGGAACTACAATAAAAGCATTTCAGATTCATCACTCAACAACTTCCTGTTTACCGAATTATTTGGGCGGGGGTATCATCAGTGAGCAGAAGCTTGTAGTTTCACTTGTTGACTATTGCTGAATCATCAATTAATATAATCAATCAACTGTTATAAAGTATGTTAATTTTACTTGCAGGTTCATGGGAAAGATGGACATTGTTCATGGTATGGTGAATGTGGTGACTCACCGACGGGGAGATACAACTGCTTGTATACAGGGCCAGCCAAAGTTTTAAACAACGAGACAGGATTAAAAATTCTCAAGACTTATTGTCCAGATTTACTTGAGGGTATGATTGTGGTCCACTTCTGTAGATTACAGAATCTGAAGATCTTGGTTTGTCAGAAAAGACATTTTGGAAAAAAATTATATTATTTTTAAAAACATTTCTAAGTATTTTCAATCTGCAGAATTAAATAAAATGTAACAAAATGAAAATGCAATTATTTTTTTTAAATTTCATGAATTAACATGATTAACAGTATTTGTTATATTAGATAATAACAATTTAAAGTTACACACAAAAGACATGATAGGTATATATATATGTTTATAAACATTGTTCCCTGTTTTTTAAAAACAAATTAATGCTAATTGGTTATGGATACTTCAAAATTATTAGAAGCAAATTGGTCATGGAAATCTCAAAATTATAAGGTACTACTTGCTCATGGATACTTCAAAATTATTAATATGAAATGAAAAATATTTGTTTTTTTAACAGAAAATGGCGATACTTACACATGCTGTGACACAGATCAGTTGATAACTATTCAGAAGAATATGGGACTGCCACAACAGTTCTTCCTACGATGTCCCTCCTGTTACCGTAACTTTCTCAACTTATACTGTTACCAGACTTGCTCAAATAACCAGAGCAATTATGTATACAACGTGAAAACAGAACCAATGCCTACCAATGAAACCAAAACACAAATTACAAAAATAGACTATTTCATTACACACACTTATGCTAACGGTATGTTTAATTCCTGTAAGGGAGTTCAGATGCCAAGTGCTAATGAACGAGCGATCACGGTTTTCTGTGGCCATCCTGCTGATCAGTGCACTATTAAGAACTGGCTACAATACATGGGAGATACAACTAATGGACACACCCCTTTTGATATCAACTTCAATATCACCAATACACCAGTAACTCCAAATACAACAAATATGACATTTTATCCCATGGATGTCACTACTTCTCTTTGTAATGAAACTGCTCTCAACAAGTCTGCTTGTAGTTGTCAAGATTGTACCCTTAGCTGTGCTCCGATGCCACCTTTCCCAAAACCTCCGAAACCAGCGACCATATTGGGCTTCGACGCCTGGTACTTTATCATGTGTATATTGTATATAATTTTCGTATTGTTTTTTGGAACATACGGATTATGTTACAATATCATATCTCGGAATGCTTTTGGAATCAAACAAAAAAGATATAATAGTATAGAAGAAAGACCTCCTGGTAGAACTGGAAGTATAAATGGCCATGGACAATCAAGGATGAAAAAATTGTCAGCGCCACTTGTCCAGGAAAAGGATATTAACTGTTTAGAAAAAATCGGAGCTGGCGTTGAGAAATTTTTGAGGAACATGTTTCTAACATGGGGGTTATTTGTAGCACGACATCCTGTAATCGTAATTGTACTTGGCGTACTCATCGCTGGAGCTTTGTCGGCAGGACTATACTTTTTCAAGGTCACAACCAACCCAGTAGATCTTTGGTCTGCTAAGAACAGCAGGGCACGCACAGAGAAGGATTACTTCGATTCCCATTTCGGGTAAGGATTTTTGGGTAAAAATGCAATCAAAACCCTATGGTACGGACAAAATCTTCCAATGCTTATCACTACCTTTTTGATACACAAAATATAGTGCATTGATCATAACACTCTATACATCCTATACATGAACATGTTCAGAAATTTATCAATGTAAAATATGCTCGGATATTCAAGTCACAAAATGATCACACTTGTCAAGAAAATTACATAACTTTTGCAAGGTGCAGGAATCTAATATCTTTTCTGAAAATATTAATCATGTCATTGTTAAAGTCATCTTTAAAATTGGAGTTATCTTCTTTTGTCCAGAATTGTAGTTGAATCAACTACAACACTGTTTTAACAATGCAATATTAAATTTTACTTCCCATTGATAAATTAAAGCTATCTTTACCCTTCAGTCAAGTTCAGTGCTTACAAGCATTTTGATTCAACCTTATATATATGAGTTCCTTGATTGCATTTACATTCCAATATGCATTATACACAAGTTGGTAAAAATAAATAAGTCAAGTGAACCAACACATTCTAACAGGTAAAGCTGGTAGAGAAATCAGGGTGGATACTAAATTGATTTAGTGACCTTCAACAATGTTAAAAATCACTCTTGGTGGAGATTTTTTTTAAACAAATTTTGGAGTTGTGGTACGATTGCCAATTATACAACTATCCACCAAAGTTAAAATGAAAAGGATATAAGCAATTATAGGCAAGCGTACAGCATTCAACAATGAGAAAAAAAACATCCAGTAAAGTTGCTATAAAAGGCCCCTACATGAAAAATTATTGTTGTTTGTTGTAAGCTGATTATTCAAATTATTTCTTTTTGTGGTACTCAACAGCAAGTAAGTGTTAAATGTTATTGAAAGTTTAGGCGACATTCCAAGGTTTTTTTCAAAAACATTTAATTACTGTGTATTCATTATTATTCGTTGGATATTTTTTTGTGGGTATAGGTGAACTACGAAATTAAATGTTCAACGAATGACAAATTTTCTAAAGGCTTGTATAAAGACTTTGGCAAAACCACGAAATTAAATGTCCACTAACACGCAAGTTTTCCTTCATCCACTAAAATTGGTGCCCACGGAAATAAATGAATCCACAGTATATATGTTCCCAGGGCTGGGGTTGAGGTACAGACTGGTGTTGGTGGGGTAACTAGAACACATATATTTAGTCTTAGAAGATGTAGAAGTTATAAGGCTAGCCTGCTTTTGAGAGTGTCTTTCCATACATGTATATACATGAAATAACAACTTATTAACAAATTTATTTTTAAACAGGCCATTCTACAGAACTGAACAACTGATTGTGACCAGACCAAACAATGATACCATAGTTAAACATAAGAATCCAGGATCCCTTGTCTCATATACCAACTATACTTCTTTGTTTGATAAGGAGTTTTTACATATGGTAGGTTCAAATTTCATCATAAAAATCGCGGAACCCTTATCTCCATACCAACTATACTTCTTTGTTTGATAAGGAGTTTTTACATATGGTAGGTTCAAATTTCATCATAAAAATCTCGGAACCCTTATCTCCATATATATACCAACTATACTTCTTTGTTTGATAAAGAGTTTTTACATAAGGTAGGTTTTAAGTTCATTATAAAAATCCAGGAACCTTTGTCACATATATATATATGCTCACTATACTTCTATGTTTAATAAGGAGTTTTTATATAAGGAAAGGAGGCTTCAGTGGCCATGTAGCCTCATTAAGTAGTCCCAACTGTATCACTAGCTTGTCAACACTGAGGTGCACTTGACTCCAATCTTTAATTATTAGGTTTGTCAGTTTTCATACTGAGGGTCAGTGGTTCTATAGTCTTCCTCCGACAATAAAAACTGACCGCCACAAAATAGCTCAATAGTGCTGAAAGTAGTGTTAATTTTCAATCAATCAATTTGATACGGTAGATTTAATTGCAGTCTTGTCAATGGTTCATTATTTGTATGCTGCAATTCCTGAAATTGCATTTTTACAAGTGCATGCAAAAATTTGTGAATTTACTGTGGTAATTTAAATGATTATTTTTTTAGCTATTGGATCTTCAACTTGAAATAGAAAACTTAACAGCGACCTACAAAGGGGAAACGGTTCGACTACAAGATATTTGTTTCAAGCCACTCGCTCCAGACAATAACAACTGTACAACAGAGAGTGTGTTAGAATACTGGCAGAAAAGTCATGAAAATATTGACAAATTAGCATATACTCCAGATAGATGGTTTGTCAAGGCAGATTACCTTGATCATTTCCATTTCTGTGTCAGGTAGGTTATCTTTTCAATACAATTTATATAAAAATAAATTATTAGATATACTGTGAATTCATTTATTTTCGTGGGTATCAATTTTCGTGGATTGAGGAAACATTGCATTTTCGTGGATATTTGATTTCGTGGTTTTGCCAAAGTCTGCATACAAGCCTATAGAACATTTGTATTTCGTTAAACATTTGAATTCGTGGGTCACCTTTACCCATGAAATCTACGAAAATTGATATCCCACGAATAATAATGAATCAACAGTAAGAAGATGTGGTATGAGTGCCAGTGAGACAACTCTCCATCCAAGTCACAATATGTAAAAGTAAACCATTATAGGTTAAAGTACGGTCTTCAACATGGAGCCTTGGCTCACACCGAACAGCAAGCTATAAAGGGCCCTGAAAATGATGTTTGCTGCAACCTCATTTGCAAAAAATATAGAAAGGAGAGTCATGACCTACAGAATTAACGAATGCAGAAATAAAGGCTCCCCATCCAGAACATTTTGCATTGCTGGATCATGATAACTTACAGTAAAATCAGAAATTATTGCATACATTTATTATTGCAAATTTTGATAAAATGGACTTAAATACCAGAATGAATTATTGTGATTTCACGAAAATCTGCATACAGTTATATATATCAGATATAAGAATGTGAGTTCTGATTATTGTGACTCATTAAGTCACAATATTCGCATTAGTAAAAACCTTGCAATAATTTCTGAATTTACAGTACATTCTCCAAATAGTATCAACAGAAAGGTTTTAGTTTTTTTGCAGTGTTGATCTAAAAGACAATATTATATATTGAATTGATTAATCTAACATAATACCAATAAAATGTATTATTTTTGTATAAAATTCTCTTTCAGTGCCCCAGCATCTACACAAGATACAGTTGGACTGAATATTTCATGTCTGGCCACTAATTCAGCTCCTATATTTCCATGGGTTGCCATGGGAGGATATGAGGGTTTGTAATTAATTATGATTTGATTTGATTTTTGGTGTTTTAACGCCACTTCTAAGCACAGCTTTTGTGTTATTTCGTGGCGGCCAGTTTTTATTGGTGGAGGAATCCAGAGTGCCCGGATAAAACCACCAACCTTAGATAGGAAAAATTAATTATGAAAGAAGATCCTTAACTTTCGGAAAATTATTTAAAATACAAAAGAAAAATTGGAAGATGTGTTTTTCATGTGTCCAAAAACATTAAAAACATATGATTTGAACCACATATGAAAAATGTATGATTTGATCCCTTGAAAATTATATGAAAAACTTGTGTTGCAATATTTACTTTGGTCAATGAAAGATTTAATTTCCAAATCACTGCTTCTCAATAATATTGACCCTGACTCAATAAATATAATTGTAAATTTAGAAACTACTACAAGGCTTTATGGATGGGATTATGAGACTGGGTTAATGTCACAACAATATAAGAACACACATTCTGATATCTTAAACATATATCTGTATGAAAATTTTTCTGAAATTGCAATAATTTATCTCACATTTTTTTCTTCCATTTTTCAAAAATCGCAATAATAAATTCACGCAATAATTTCTGAATTTACAGTAATCACTAATATGCTTTTGAATTTCATAATCAGACAACTTTCAGAAATGAAAGATCAAAGTATATATAATAAGTTTTCTATAACAGGTTTACGTTATCAAGACTCAACAGCATTTGTCACATTTTTTGTGTGTGATATTACTAGTAAAACTAAGTGGTAGTAACCTTATTTTGAGATCTTCTGTCGTAGTGCTGAATTATAAGTTTTCTATTACAGGTTTAAATTACCAAGACTCAACAGCGTTTGTCATCACAATTCTGGTCAACAACCACCTTAAAGATGAAGACAATGAAAAAGCTATGGCGTGGGAGAAAGTGCTTATAGATTTCATGAAGACCAGACAAAATGATTTGAACATGACGATTGCCTTTAACACGGAGGTAAGGTTTTTTTGGGGTCTCTAACGTTACTTATGACAAAAGTAATTGAAAAATAATTAATAACAGTGGTAATGTATTTGTAATATAATTAATTACTGTGAAGTACTTTTGTTCATGGGGTACTAATTTTTGTGGTTTTCGTGATAGGGTTCAAGCACGTATTCAAATTCCATAAGAAATGTAAAATTTCCATTTAAAACTAAAATGCTCAAATAATATCAACGAATTCGAAAAACCCACGAACTAAGGAAATTTTGAAAATCTACGAAAATTAATACCCACGAAAAAAAGTACCTGTAATTAATTATATTTAAGAATCAATGTAATTGATATGTAATCAATTACTTTAGCATGTAGTTGACCCAAGGTGAATTTCTAATATAAATATAAGAAAATGTGAAATGATTGCAATGAGACAACTATTCGCAGAGTTAAAATGAAGTGGTACTTAGCAATTATTGGCCACCATATAACCTTCAACAATGAGAAAAATCTATACTGTATAATCAGCTTTAAAAGGCCAAAAATGGAAAGCGTAACAATTCAAAAGAGAATTTTTTGGTGGATTTCCAGTTCTATATTGAGAAAAATAAATCATATGACAGGCAGGTGTTGAGTACGGTACTTTTAGTCCTTAGACATGTAATATTACAAGATTTTTTAAACTTTGGTAGATATTTGAAATTTTAAACATGTTTTAAGTTGATATAGCAGGAAAAGATTTTATCCGTCAAATTGAACTGCCTCAGCCTAGTACAAAGCATGGCGCATATTAATATTACATACATGTGTTCTCATCCTTAATTACTTCAGGACAGTCAACGAAATGGTTCACCTTTGTTTCATTTTCAATGTTGGCATTCTTTTCCTTTTAATTGCTGAACACATCTAATACATGTAGATACTCAACCAATATCTAGGTAATGGGTTAAATTGAAGATCACATGAATACGGATTCAATGAGGTCGAATTATTCACTTGCATTATTCACTTGCAAGTGAATAATTGATCACCGATGTTTCTATTGTTATTTTGACAAAGTTGAACCAAATAGGCTGCTAAAAACAAATTATTATTTCATTATTTCACTTTTATAAATGATTGAAACAAACAAAATCATATTCTAAATCTTTTCATATCTCGTAGCTAAACTAGTGCCCCTTTAAAAAACATGTACACAAATGCATTAATTTTAATGAATGAATTTGTTTTTAGCGATCAATTGAAGATGAAATAAACAGGGAAAGTAGCTCTGATATTTGGACAGTTTTGGCTAGCTACCTGATTATGTTTGGGTACATTACAATTACTCTTGGGCAGTATGGAACGTGTGAAAATCCACAAAAACTACTGGCAAGTAAAGTTATATGACAAACAATAATATTTCAGTATGCTACATTTGTCTGCAACACAAAGAGAAAGTCCTGCCCTGCACACAGAGGCAAATGGTCATTATTGATAAAGTTATATAAACAACACTCATTGCTGTATATAGAAACATGACCACTGACTTTCGTGTTTATCAACAGTTGTCTCCCTTTAAATAAGTACATATGTGTAGTGCAGCCTGCAAAACAAAGACAAAAAGCAGAAGAAATATTGTCATCAATAATTATCTCCCTTTGAAAAATACTAACACTGTTAAAATTGATTTCCACGTTGTATCTTCTATGTCATGCTACCAGCTATTAAACAAAGACAAAAAACAGAAGAAATCTTGTCATCAATGATTATCTCCCTTTGAAAAATATCAAAACTGTTAAAAATGATTTCAACGTTGTATCTCCTATGTCATGCTACCAGCTATTAAACAAAGACAAAAAACAGAAGAAATCTTTTCATCAATAATTATCTCCCTTTGAAAAATACCAAAACTGATAAAAATGATTTCAACGTTGTATCTTCTATGCAGATCTAGATTAGTCAGATTAAAAGGTTAATTTATTAGCAGTATTCCTGTTAGCACTAATTTTCTCTTTAGATAAATTCATCCTTCTGTGTTTATTGTGTAAGTGTCTTTTACAAGCAAACAAAACTAATAACTTCACATTTATGAATCAGTGGACATTGATTACTTTGTTCAGCCACCAAAAAGGATATCCGATTGATTGAATCACCTGTTTTATGTTTCCAAATGATAAATTGAAATATATATGTATACTATGAATTCATTAATATTCGTTGGATACCAATTTTCGTGGATTTCGTCGGAATAGGGGAACCACGAATTTAAAAGTTCAACAAATTACACATTTTCTAAAGGAAGGTAAAACCACGAAATTAAATATCCATGATTTAAGCCATTCCAATTGATATTTTATAGTGTGTCTTTCTATGTTGTTATACTATTGTTTCAGATAAGGGAGAAGGTTTGGTACCATTAAAATGTTTAATCCCGCTGCAATTGTTTGCACCTGTCCTAAGTCAGGAATCTGATGTTCAGTAGTTGTCGTTTGTGTTTCTCGTTTCTCGTTTTTTATATAGATTAGACCATTGGTTTTCCTGTTTGAATGGTTTTACACTAGTAATTTATTGGGGCCCTTTATAGCTTGCTGTTGGGTGTGAGCCAAGGCTCCGTGTTGACCTTGACCTATAATAGTTTACTTTTATCATTGTGACTTGGATGGAGAGTTGTCTCATGGGCACTCATACCACATCTTCCTATATCTATGAAAATGCAAGTTTTTCTCAATCCACGAAAATTGGTACCCACGAAAATGAATGAATCCACAGTAAAGGACACTGCAGGGATATCATAAATTCAAAACGGGACAAATTGAATTTTGGGGTAAATTGTCAAAAATAGAAGGCACAAAAATTTCTCAGTTAACAGTAGCAATTTAAACTGTCACGTGGTTGTTACTTTTCCTCTTAAGTAAGACTCCACAATATTTGTTATAAAGTTTTAATAGATTTTCATAATGCCAATTTTTTTCATTGCTAAATTGATTTTATTTTCAGATTGATTCCAAGATAACATTAGGACTATCAGGAGTTACCATTGTACTATTATCAGTAGCTGCCTCCCTTGGGACCTATAGTTACTTTGGAATACCAGCAACACTTATCATCATAGAAGTTGTACCATTCTTAGTCCTGGCTGTTGGTGTGGACAACATCTTTATTTTAGTCCAGGCCTATCAGGTATGTTCAGTGCATTATCTAACTGTGAGATTAGATATACTTAATTAGGTCTAGGTCTTTATAGTGGGTATGATATTTAGTCCTGTCTGTAAATTATGGTCCAAGGAGTAAAATAAAATGAGATTACCCTTTCCATATTCATATTTTACTGAAAAAGGCTTTTATTACTTTGTTTTTTTTATGACAATTATTGTAACAGTTTTAATGAAGCCTTGTTTCAAACAGTTGAATGAATTTTATGAATATTTATTAAGTTTTTATAGTACCAGCTAAAAATTCTGTAAAAATAGTTATGCCCTGCATATGAAATTAAGGGGCATTATGTTATCAGTCTGTATGTCCGTCTGTTTTTCATCTATCTGTCCCTTATCAGATTAAAGTTTGGTTTTAAGTCAAACTTGATGTTTATCTTATGACAGACATACAAAAATATATGAAGAATCTTTTGCTCTTCGTAACATATAATGTACAATGTCACCTTGTTTGTTTTTTACAGCGAGATACCAGACCACCAGGTGAAAGTTTAGAAGAACAGATAGGCAGAATTGTAGGAAGAGTGGGGCCAAGCATGTTACTTACTAGTTCTGCAGAATCCATAGCTTTCTTCCTGGGTAATATACTTTATACAGCAACTAGTTGTGTTTATTTCCTAAATATAGCAACACAGCTATATTTTGTGCAATGTCAATTTCATCATGGATCACTTTTTCCACAATCAGGGGTTCATTAAGGGATGCAAATAAGTTTGAAATTTGTGTTACAATTTGAATAGCTATCAATGTATTTAATTAACTTGCAGTATAAAAACAATAATATCAGGCCAATGTCAGAAAAATATAAACTTCTTTAGTATTTAGCACAAAATTGGGGAAGGGTTTGGTAAAACCTCGCCCTTCCCTAGTTACTCAGCCTCATATAAAAAGGTTGATATTTTCCTGAAATTGACCTGATATTGTATATGTATTATGTACATGTGTCAAGTCAGTTAAAAAGGAAGTTATAAGTTGAAGAATACAGTTACTAGAAATGTGGTGAATCTTCTTAAAAATACAAATATTTAAATGGTGTTGAGCATTGGGAGTTGCTTATAGACGTATTTACACTTGTATGTAAATTGTCAGCCATTAGGTAAAATCACACAAGTTCCCGTATAATTTGACATCACAATTTAAAAAATTTGATGTCACAATTGAAAAGTGATATATATAAATCTTTCATCTTTTCTTAACAGGTGCCCTGACAAACATGCCTGCAGTAAGAGTTTTCCCCCTTTACATATAAATCTTTCATCTTTTCTTAACAGGTGCCCTGACAAACATACCTGCAGTAAGAGTTTTCCCTCTTTACATATAAATCTTTCATCTTTTCTTAACAGGTGCCCTGACAAACATCCCTGCAGTAAGAGTTTTCCCCCTTTACATATAAATCTTTCATCTTTTCTTAACAGGTGCCCTGACAAACATGCCAGCAGTAAGAGTTTTCCCTCTTTACATATAAATCTTTCATCTTTTCTTAACAGGTGCCCTGACAAACATACCTGCAGTAAGAGTTTTCCCTCTTTACATATAAATCTTTCATCTTTTCTTAACAGGTGCCCTGACAAACATCCCTGCAGTAAGAGTTTTCCCCCTTTACATATAAATCTTTCATCTTTTCTTAACAGGTGCCCTGACAAACATGCCAGCAGTAAGAGTTTTCCCTCTTTACATATAAATCTTTCATCTTTTCTTAACAGGTGCCCTGACAAACATACCTGCAGTAAGAGTTTTCCCTCTTTACATATAAATCTTTCATCTTTTCTTAACAGGTGCCCTGACAAACATGCCTGCAGTAAGAGTTTTCCCTCTTTACATATAAATCTTTCATCTTTTCTTAACAGGTGCCCTGACAAACATGCCTGCAGTAAGAGTTTTCTCCCTATACTTATAAATCTTTCATCTTTTCTTAACAGGTGCCCTGACAAACATGCCTGCAGTAAGAGTTTTCTCCCTATACTTATCAATCTTTCATCTTTTCTTAACAGGTGCCCTGACAAACATGTCAGCAGTAAGAGTTTTCTCCCTATACTTATCAATCTTTCATCTTTTCTTAACAGGTGCCCTGACAAACATGCCTGCAGTAAGAGTTTTCCCTCTTTACATATAAATCTTTCATCTTTTCTTAACAGGTGCCCTGACAAACATGCCTGCAGTAAGAGTTTTCCCTCTTTACATATAAATCTTTCATCTTTTCTTAACAGGTGCCCTGACAAACATACCTGCAGTAAGAGTTTTCCCTCTTTACATATAAATCTTTCATCTTTTCTTAACAGGTGCCCTGACAAACATACCTGCAGTAAGAGTTTTCTCCCTATACTTATCAATCTTTCATCTTTTCTTAACAGGTGCCCTGACAAACATCCCTGCAGTAAGAGTTTTCCCCCTATACTTATCAATCTTTCATCTTTTCTTAACAGGTGCCCTGACAAACATGCCAGCAGTAAGAGTTTTCTCCCTATACTTATCAATCTTTCATCTTTTCTTAACAGGTGCCCTGACAAACATGCCTGCAGTAAGAGTTTTCTCCCTTTACTTATCAATCTTTCATCTTTTCTTAACAGGTGCCCTGACAAACATCCCTGCAGTAAGAGTTTTCTCCCTATACTTATCAATCTTTCATCTTTTCTTAACAGGTGCCCTGACAAACATGCCAGCAGTAAGAGTTTTCTCCCTATACTTATCAATCTTTCATCTTTTCTTAACAGGTGCCCTGACAAACATGCCTGCAGTAAGAGTTTTCTCCCTTTACTTATCAATCTTTCATCTTTTCTTAACAGGTGCCCTGACAAACATGCCAGCAGTAAGAGTTTTCTCCCTATACTTATCAATCTTTCATCTTTTCTTAACAGGTGCCCTGACAAACATGCCTGCAGTAAGAGTTTTCTCCCTATACTTATCAATCTTTCATCTTTTCTTAACAGGTGCCCTGACAAACATGCCAGCAGTAAGAGTTTTCTCCCTATACTTATCAATCTTTCATCTTTTCTTAACAGGTGCCCTGACAAACATCCCTGCAGTAAGAGTTTTCCCCCTTTACATATAAATCTTTCATCTTTTCTTAACAGGTGCCCTGACAAACATGCCTGCAGTAAGAGTTTCCTCCCTATACTTATAAATCTTTCATCTTTTCTTAACAGGTGCCCTGACAAACATGCCTGCAGTAAGAGTTTTCCCCCTATACTTATCAATCTTTCATCTTTTCTTAACAGGTGCCCTGACAAACATGCCTGCAGTAAGAGTTTTCTCCCGATACTTATCAATCTTTCATCTTTTCTTAACAGGTGCCCTGACAAACATGCCTGCAGTAAGAGTTTTCTCCCTATACTTATCAATCTTTCATCTTTTCTTAACAGGTGCCCTGACAAACATGCCAGCAGTAAGAGTTTTCTCCCTTTACTTATCAATCTTTCATCTTTTCTTAACAGGTGCCCTGACAAACATGCCTGCAGTAAGAGTTTTCTCCCTTTACTTATCAATCTTTCATCTTTTCTTAACAGGTGCCCTGACAAACATGCCAGCAGTAAGAGTTTTCTCCCTATACTTATCAATCTTTCATCTTTTCTTAACAGGTGCCCTGACAAACATACCTGCAGTAAGAGTTTTCCCTCTTTACATATAAATCTTTCATCTTTTCTTAACAGGTGCCCTGACAAACATGCCTGCAGTAAGAGTTTTCCCTCTTTACATATAAATCTTTCATCTTTTCTTAACAGGTGCCCTGACAAACATGCCTGCAGTAAGAGTTTTCTCCCTATACTTATAAATCTTTCATCTTTTCTTAACAGGTGCCCTGACAAACATGCCTGCAGTAAGAGTTTTCTCCCTATACTTATCAATCTTTCATCTTTTCTTAACAGGTGCCCTGACAAACATGCCTGCAGTAAGAGTTTTCCCTCTTTACATATAAATCTTTCATCTTTTCTTAACAGGTGCCCTGACAAACATGCCTGCAGTAAGAGTTTTCCCTCTTTACATATAAATCTTTCATCTTTTCTTTACAGGTGCCCTGACAAACATGCCTGCAGTAAGAGTTTTCTCCCTATACTTATCAATCTTTCATCTTTTCTTAACAGGTGTCCTGACAAACATCCCTGCAGTAAGAGTTTTCCCCCTTTACATATAACTCTTTCATCTTTTCTTAACAGGTGCCCTGACAAACATACCTGCAGTAAGAGTTTTCCCTCTTTACATATAAATCTTTCATCTTTTCTTAACAGGTGCCCTGACAAACATACCTGCAGTAAGAGTTTTCCCTCTTTACATATAAATCTTTCATCTTTTCTTAACAGGTGCCCTGACAAACATACCAGCAGTAAGAGTTTTCTCCCTATACTTATCAATCTTTCATCTTTTCTTAACAGGTGCCCTGACAAACATCCCTGCAGTAAGAGTTTTCCCCCTATACTTATCAATCTTTCATCTTTTCTTAACAGGTGCCCTGACAAACATGCCTGCAGTAAGAGTTTTCTCCCGATACTTATCAATCTTTCATCTTTTCTTAACAGGTGCCCTGACAAACATGCCTGCAGTAAGAGTTTTCTCCCTATACTTATCAATCTTTCATCTTTTCTTAACAGGTGCCCTGACAAACATGCCAGCAGTAAGAGTTTTCTCCCTTTACTTATCAATCTTTCATCTTTTCTTAACAGGTGCCCTGACAAACATGCCAGCAGTAAGAGTTTTCTCCCTATACTTATCAATCTTTCATCTTTTCTTAACAGGTGCCCTGACAAACATGCCTGCAGTAAGAGTTTTCTCCCTTTACTTATCAATCTTTCATCTTTTCTTAACAGGTGTCCTGACAAACATGCCTGCAGTAAGAGTTTTCTCCCTTTACTTATCAATCTTTCATCTTTTCTTAACAGGTGCCCTGACAAACATGTCAGCAGTAAGAGTTTTCTCCCTATACTTATCAATCTTTCATCTTTTCTTAACAGGTGCCCTGACAAACATGCCTGCAGTAAGAGTTTTCTCCCTTTACTTATCAATCTTTCATCTTTTCTTAACAGGTGCCCTGACAAACATGCCTGCAGTAAGAGTTTTCTCCCTTTACTTATCAATCTTTCATCTTTTCTTAACAGGTGCCCTGACAAACATACCAGCAGTAAGAGTTTTCCCCCTATACTTATCAATCTTTCATCTTTTCTTAACAGGTGCCCTGACAAACATGCCAGCAGTAAGAGTTTTCTCCCTATACTTATCAATCTTTCATCTTTTCTTAACAGGTGCCCTGACAAACATGCCAGCAGTAAGAGTTTCCCCCTATACTTATCAATCTTTCATCTTTTCTTAACAGGTGCCCTGACAAACATGCCAGCAGTAAGAGTTTCCCCCCTATACTTATCAATCTTTCATCTTTTCTTAACAGGTGCCCTGACAAACATGCCAGCAGTAAGAGTTTCCCCCCTATACTTATCAATCTTTCATCTTTTCTTAACAGGTGCCCTGACAAACATACCAGCAGTAAGAGTTTTCTCCCTATACTTATCAATCTTTCATCTTTTCTTAACAGGTGCCCTGACAAACATGCCTGCAGTAAGAGTTTTCTCCCTATACTTATCAATCTTTCATCTTTTCTTAACAGGTGCCCTGACAAACATGCCAGCAGTAAGAGTTTCCCCCCTATACTTATCAATCTTTCATCTTTTCTTAACAGGTGCCCTGACAAACATGCCAGCAGTAAGAGTTTTCTCCCTATACTTATCAATCTTTCATCTTTTCTTAACAGGTGCCCTGACAAACATACCAGCAGTAAGAGTTTTCTCCCTTTAAATTTAAATATTTCATCTTTTCTTAACAGGTGCCCTGACAAACATGCCAGCAGTAAGAGTTTTCTCCCTTTAAATTTAAATATTTCATCTTTTCTTAACAGGTGCCCTGACAAACATGCCAGCAGTAAGAGTTTTCCCCCTTTACATATAAATCTTTCATCTTTTCTTAACAGGTGCCCTGACAAACATGCCAGCAGTAAGAGTTTCCCCCCTATACTTATCAATCTTTCATCTTTTCTTAACAGGTGCCCTGACAAACATGCCAGCAGTAAGAGTTTTCTCCCTATACTTATCAATCTTTCATCTTTTCTTAACAGGTGCCCTGACAAACATACCAGCAGTAAGAGTTTTCTCCCTTTAAATTTAAATATTTCATCTTTTCTTAACAGGTGCCCTGACAAACATGTCTGCAGTAAGAGTTTTCCCCCTTTACATATAAATCTTTCATCTTTTCTTAACAGGTGCCCTGACAAACATCCCTGCAGTAAGAGTTTTCCCCCTATACTTATCAATCTTTCATCTTTTCTTAACAGGTGCCCTGACAAACATGCCAGCAGTAAGAGTTTTCTCCCTATACTTATCAATCTTTCATCTTTTCTTAACAGGTGTCCTGACAAACATGCCTGCAGTAAGAGTTTTCTCCCTATACTTATCAATCTTTCATCTTTTCTTAACAGGTGCCCTGACAAACATGCCAGCAGTAAGAGTTTCCCCCCTATACTTATCAATCTTTCATCTTTTCTTAACAGGTGCCCTGACAAACATGCCTGCAGTAAGAGTTTTCTCCCTATACTTATCAATCTTTCATCTTTTCTTAACAGGTGCCCTGACAAACATGCCAGCAGTAAGAGTTTTCCCCCTATACTTATCAATCTTTCATCTTTTCTTAACAGGTGCCCTGACAAACATGCCTGCAGTAAGAGTTTTCTCCCTTTACTTATCAATCTTTCATCTTTTCTTAACAGGTGCCCTGACAAACATACCAGCAGTAAGAGTTTTCCCCCTATACTTATCAATCTTTCATCTTTTCTTAACAGGTGCCCTGACAAACATGCCAGCAGTAAGAGTTTTCTCCCTATACTTATCAATCTTTCATCTTTTCTTAACAGGTGCCCTGACAAACATGCCAGCAGTAAGAGTTTCCCCCTATACTTATCAATCTTTCATCTTTTCTTAACAGGTGCCCTGACAAACATGCCAGCAGTAAGAGTTTCCCCCCTATACTTATCAATCTTTCATCTTTTCTTAACAGGTGCCCTGACAAACATGCCAGCAGTAAGAGTTTCCCCCCTATACTTATCAATCTTTCATCTTTTCTTAACAGGTGCCCTGACAAACATACCAGCAGTAAGAGTTTTCCCCCTATACTTATCAATCTTTCATCTTTTCTTAACAGGTGCCCTGACAAACATGCCAGCAGTAAGAGTTTCCCCCCTATACTTATCAATCTTTCATCTTTTCTTAACAGGTGCCCTGACAAACATGCCAGCAGTAAGAGTTTTCTTCCTATACTTACCAATCTTTCATCTTTTCTTAACAGGTGCCCTGACAAACATACCAGCAGTAAGAGTTTTCTCCCTTTAAATTTAAATATTTCATCTTTTCTTAACAGGTGCCCTGACAAACATGCCAGCAGTAAGAGTTTTCTCCCTTTAAATTTAAATATTTCATCTTTTCTTAACAGGTGCCCTGACAAACATGCCTGCAGTAAGAGTTTTCCCTCTTTACATATAAATCTTTCATCTTTTCTTAACAGGTGCCCTGACAAACATGCCAGCAGTAAGAGTTTTCCCCCTTTACATATAAATCTTTCATCTTTTCTTAACAGGTGCCCTGACAAACATCCCTGCAGTAAGAGTTTTCCCCCTATACTTATCAATCTTTCATCTTTTCTTAACAGGTGCCCTGACAAACATGCCAGCAGTAAGAGTTTCCCCCCTATACTTATCAATCTTTCATCTTTTCTTAACAGGTGCCCTGACAAACATGCCTGCAGTAAGAGTTTTCTCCCTATACTTATCAATCTTTCATCTTTTCTTAACAGGTGCCCTGACAAACATGCCAGCAGTAAGAGTTTTCCCCCTATACTTATCAATCTTTCATCTTTTCTTAACAGGTGCCCTGACAAACATGCCTGCAGTAAGAGTTTTCTCCCTTTACTTATCAATCTTTCATCTTTTCTTAACAGGTGCCCTGACAAACATGCCAGCAGTAAGAGTTTTCCCCCTATACTTATCAATCTTTCATCTTTTCTTAACAGGTGCCCTGACAAACATGCCAGCAGTAAGAGTTTTCCCCCTATACTTATCAATCTTTCATCTTTTCTTAACAGGTGCCCTGACAAACATGCCTGCAGTAAGAGTTTTCTCCCTTTACTTATCAATCTTTCATCTTTTCTTAACAGGTGCCCTGACAAACATGCCAGCAGTAAGAGTTTTCCCCCTATACTTATCAATCTTTCATCTTTTCTTAACAGGTGCCCTGACAAACATGCCTGCAGTAAGAGTTTTCTCCCTTTACTTATCAATCTTTCATCTTTTCTTAACAGGTGCCCTGACAAACATGCCTGCAGTAAGAGTTTTCTCCCTATACTTATCAATCTTTCATCTTTTCTTAACAGGTGCCCTGACAAACATGCCAGCAGTAAGAGTTTTCTCCCTATACTTATCAATCTTTCATCTTTTCTTAACAGGTGCCCTGACAAACATGCCTGCAGTAAGAGTTTTCTCCCTATACTTATCAATCTTTCATCTTTTCTTAACAGGTGCCCTGACAAACATGCCTGCAGTAAGAGTTTTCTCCCTTTACTTATCAATCTTTCATCTTTTCTTAATAGGTGCCCTGACAAACATGCCTGCAGTAAGAGTTTTCCCCCTATACTTATCAATCTTTCATCTTTTCTTAACAGGTGCCCTGACAAACATGCCAGCAGTAAGAGTTTTCCCCCTATACTTATCAATCTTTCATCTTTTCTTAACAGGTGCCCTGACAAACATGCCAGCAGTAAGAGTTTTCTCCCTATACTTATCAATCTTTCATCTTTTCTTAACAGGTGCCCTGACAAACATACCAGCAGTAAGAGTTTTCTCCCTTTAAATTTAAATATTTCATCTTTTCTTAACAGGTGCCCTGACAAACATGCCTGCAGTAAGAGTTTTCTCCCTATACTTATCAATCTTTCATCTTTTCTTAACAGGTGCCCTGACAAACATGCCTGCAGTAAGAGTTTTCTCCCCAACTTATCAATCTTTCATCTTTTCTTAACAGGTGCCCTGACAAACATGCCTGCAGTAAGAGTTTTCTCCCTATACTTATCAATCTTTCATCTTTTCTTAACAGGTGCCCTGACAAACATGCCTGCAGTAAGAGTTTTTTCCCTATATGCTGCCCTGGCAGTTTTAATTGACTTTTTGCTACAGATTACAGTATTTATTGCATTAATGACAATTGATGCCAAAAGACAAGAGGTAAGAATTTCTGTCATTGTTTTACTGTGCTATCCTTAAGTGGCACCAATAGTTTGGGTTTTTCCAATATCATGAATATGATAGTTTAAAGTGGATGTTTTAACTCAAAACTTGTACTGAAGCCCAATCTGAAGTATAACACCAAATAATGTTTTCTTTAGAAAATACATCAATTTAAGAAATGTGTGTTCAAGAAAACTCTCATTTTTTTATACGACCGCAAAAAATTTTTTGTGGTCGTATATTGGTATGACGTTGGCGTCGTCGTCGTCGTCGTCGTCCGGCGTCATCGTCGTCCGGCGTCGTCCGAAGACACATTGGTTTTCGCACTCTAACTTTAGTTTAAGTGAATGGATCTTTATGAAATTTTACCACAAGGTTCAATACCACAAAAGGAAGGTTGGGATTGATTTTGGGGGTTATGGTAATAACAGTAAAGGAATTAGGGGCCAAAAATAAGCATTTTTGTAACTTCCAGACATAACTTGTGTGTTAGTGTATGGATCTCTCTGACATTGTACCACAAGGTTCCATGTCACACAGGGAATGCTGGGATTGATTTTGGGGGTAATTGCCTCCAAATTTTAGGAATAAGGGGCCAAAAAAGGGGCAAAAAACAAGCATTTTTCTAGTTTCATGACAATAACTTGTGTGTAAGTGTATGGATCTTTCTGAAATTGTACTACAAGGTTCCATATCACAAAGGGAAAGCTGGGTTTGAGTTTGGGGGTAATTGCCCTAAACGTTTAGGAATTTGGGGCCAAAAAGGGGCCAAAAAACAAATTTTTTTCTAGTTTCCAGACAATAACTTGTGTTCAAGTGTATGGATCTCTCTGAAATTGTACTGCAAGGTACCATACCACAAAGGGAAGGCTGGGATTGAGTTTGGGGGTGATGAATCATAATGGGGGTTCAAAAAATTTTGGGGGGGGATTTATTTTTTTTTCCTTTTTTAGCTCACCTGGCCCGAAGGGCCAAGTGAGCTTTTCTCATCACTTGGCGTCCGTCGTCCGTCGTCCGGCGTCGTCCGTCGTCGGCGTTAACTTTTTACATTTTGAACTTCTTCTAGAGAACCACTGAATGGAATGAAACCAAACATGGCATGCATGTTACTTATGAGGTGCTGACCAAGTGTTGTTACTTTGTAGCCGATCCATCATCCAAGATGGCCGCCAGCGGGGGACTTAGTTTAACATAGGACCCTATGGGAAATGCATACAAATGACTTCTTTTAGAGAACCACTGTATGGAATGAAACCAAACATGGCATGAATGTTCCTTATGAGGTGCTGACCATGTGTTGTTACTTTGTAGCCGATCCATCATCCAAGATGGCCGCCATCGGGGAACTTAGTTTAACATAGGACCCTATGGGAAATACATACAAATGTCTTCTTTTATAGAACCACTGAATGGAATGAAACCAAACATGGCATGAATGTTCCTTATGAGGTGCTGACCAAGTGTTGTTACTTTGTAGCCGATCCATCATCCAAGATGGCCGCCAGTGGGGGACTTAGTTTAACATAGGACCCTATGGGAAATACATAAAAATGACTTCTTTTAGAGAACGAATAAATGGAATGGAACCAAACATGGCATGAATGTTCCTTATGAGATGCTGACCAAGTGTTGTTACTTTGCAGTCGGTCCATAATCCAAGATGGCCGCCAGCGGGGGACTTAGTTTAACATAGGACCCTATGGGAAATACATACAAATGTCTTCTTTTAGAGAACCACTGAATGGAATGAAACCAAACATGGCATGAATGTTCCTTATGAGGTTCTGACCAAGTGTTGTTACTTTGTAGCCGATCCATCATCCAAGATGGCCTCCAGCGGGGGACTTAGTTAAACATAGGACCGTATGGGAAATACATAAAAATGACTTCTTTTAGAGAACGAATAAATGGAATGGAACCAAACATTGCATGAATGTTCCTTATGAGATGTTGACCAAGTGTTGTTACTTTGCAGTCGGTCCATCATCCAAGATGGCCGCCAGCGGGGGACTTAGTTTAACATAGGACCCTATAGGAAATACATACAAATGTCTTCTTTTAGAGAACCACTGAATGGAATGAAACAAAACATGGCATGAATGTTCCTTATAAGGTGCTGACCAAGGGTTGTAACTTTGCAGTCGGTCCATCATCCAAAATGGCCGACAGCGGGGGACTTAGTTTAACATTGGACCCTATGGGAAATACATACAAATGTCTTCTCTTAGAGAACCAGTGATTGGAATGAAACCAAACATGGCATGAATGTTCCTTATAAGGTGCTGACCAAGTGTTGTTACTTTGCAGTCGGTCCATAATCCAAGATGGCCGCCAGCGGGAGACTTAGTTTAACATAGGACCCTACGGGAAATACATACAAAATGTCTTCTTTTAGAGAACCTCTGAATGGAATGGAACCAAACATGGCATGAATGTTCCTTATGAGGTGTTGACCAAGTGTTGTTTCTTTGATGCCGATCCATCATCCAAGATGGCCGCTAGCAGGGGACTTAGTTTAACATAGGACCCTATGGGAAATACATACAAATGTCTTCTTTTAGAGAACCACTGAATGGAATGAAACCAAACATGGCATGAATGTTCCTAATGAGGTGCTGACCAAGTGTTGTTACTTTGCAGTCAGTCCATCATCCAAGATGGCCGACAGCGGGGGACTTAGTTTAACATAGGACCCTATGGGAAATACATACAATTGTCTTCTTTTAGAGAACCAGTGAATGGAATGGAACCAAACATGGCATGAATGTTCCTTATGAGGTGCTGACCAAGTGTTGTTACTTTGCAGTCGATCCATCGTCCAAGATGGCCGCTAGGGGGGGGGGTTTAGTTTAACATAGGACCCTATGGGAAATACATACAAATGTCTTCTTTTAGAGTACCACTGAATGGAATGAAACCAAACATGGCATGAATGTTCCTTATGAAGTGCTGACCAAGTGTGGCTACTTTGTTGCCGATTTACTGTTCAAGATGGCCACCAGGATATTTTATTAAATAACGGGACCAATATTAATCCAAATTTGGCCTCAATCATTATTTGGGTATCTGTTATGATTTTTATCTATCTTTACATGATTTCTAAAACCAAAGTAGAGTCAGGTGAGCGACACAGGCTCTTGAGAGCCTCTAGTTTTCTTTTTTTCCTTTTTTGTTTCTTTTAAAATTTTCCATTTTAAATTGGTTATTTCTGATTTATATTTAAAATCAAATAATAATGATATGGTAGGAGATACACACCAAACAGGATGTGTAAATTATTATATAATAAGTATTGTGCAATAGCAAGAAATTTTCAATTGCACAGTATTGCACAATAGCAAGAAATCTTCAATTGCACAGTATTGCGCAATAGCAAGAAATCTTCAATTGCACAGTATTGTGCAATAGCAAGAAATATCCAATAGCACAATATTGCGCAATAGCAAGAAATTGTCAATTGTACAGTATTGCGCAATAGCAAGAAATATTTAATAGCACAGGATTGTGCAAAAGAAGATACTTCCTATAAATTGCTTATTTCTTGACCAATTTCAATGGGGTTTTATTCTTGATTTCATGGGGTTCTTTAATATGCTGAATCTAACCGTGTATTTAGTTTTTGGATTTTGGGCCCCGTTTTTAAATTGGTCCACATTGAGGTCCAAAGGGTCCAAAATTAAACTTTGTTTGATTTCATCAAAAATTGAATTATTGGGGTTCTTTGATATGCCGAATCTAACCGTGTATTTAGATTCTTAATTTTTGGTTCTGTTTTCAAATTGGTCTACATTTGAGTCCAAAGGGTCCAAAATTAAACTTTGTTTGATTTTAACGAAAATTGAATTCTTAGGGTTCTTTGATATGCTGAATCTAAACATGTATTTAGATTTTTGATTATGGGCCCAGTTTTCAAGTTGGTCCAAATCGGGGTCCAAAATTAAACTTTGTTTGATTTCAACAAAAATTGAATATATGGGGTTCTTTGATATGCTGAATCTAACCATGTATTTAGATTTTTGATTTTTGGGCCCCGTTATCAACTTTGTCCACATTGAGGTCAAAAGGGTCCAAAATTAAACTTTGTTTGATTTCATCAAAAATTGAATTCTTGGGGTTCTTTGATATGCTGAATCTAACCATGTATTTAGATTTTGGATATTGGACCATAATAGGTGAATGTCCAATTTAAAATTTTTAAGTTCTTAGACCACATTCAATCTGTGTTAGAAACCTATGCTGTGTCAAATATTTAATCACAATCCAAATCCAAAGCTGTATCAAGCTTGAATGTTGTGTCCATACTTCCCCCAACTGTTCAGGGTTCGACCTCTGCGGTCATATCAAGCTGCGCCCTGCGGAGCATTTTATTATATTTTAAAATTGAGAATGGAAATGGGGAATATGTCAAAGAGACAACAACCGGACCAAAGAGCAGACTACTTTGGATTAATTATTTTTTGTGGATACCGATTGTCAAAGATTGAGGGAAAATTGTATTGTTGTTGTTATTACTTTGGTTGCAATGAATTACATTGATTTCCCTAGTGAAATAAAAACTGATAATTTCACATGTGAAATAAACGTGGTTATTTCACTCCTCTGACGTCATACAACAATAGGCGTTGCCAAGACGGATCAAAACAAATTGTGAATGCGTAGAAAAAGATATAGTTCCTTACATTTTCTACTTTTATTTCATAAAAAAGGCCATTTGCCAATGTAATGAAAAGAATAACTAATCAAAGAATTCAAATATTCACCTCGTGACCGAACAACCCTGATAATTAACTCATGCGCTACGCGCATTCATGAATTAATGTGTTGTTTGGTCACTTGTTGAATATTTTTCTCTATTTGAATTCTTCGATTAGTTAGTCTATAAATATTTGCTTTTCATGGTTATCCAAATTTAAAATACAGCTTTTTATTTTTTGCAAAACTTATTTTGTAGCATTTTTCAAAACATTGCAAAAATATATTAGAACTTTAAGTGCTTGACATGTTTTAAGATAAATAATATACATACTAAGGCCAGATTTGAAAACACGAGTATAATATTTATTATTCTTTTTTTAAAGGATGATAGATTTGACGCATGTTGCTGTATTAAAGAACCAGGAAGTAAGAAGGAGAAACATGAAGGCTGGCTCTTCTATTTATTCAAGAATTTCTATGCACCATTTATCCTGAAGGAATATGTTAGACCGATAGTGGTATGTAGTTTGTAATTTTTATTTTTATTTCCAAAAGAAAATATCGGTTATTAATTTGGTGATGTACGGCAGGTGGCTGCAAAACAGTGTATGTGTAATAACTTGAAAACTCTTTGACAAATTCTTTTCAGATTTAGATATGTTGTTTCCTGTGACTAAATGAAAGTCAAAGTTCAATTTTCACGATTTTAGCTTGTATTGTTGTTGAGTTGTAGACCTTCAAGTAGCGAAAAGTGACACTTAGAATGTTGTCTGTGCAAAATCTTTTCAAATGTTGATATGTTATTTCCTTTGACTAAATGAAGGTCAAGTCCGATTTTCATTAGATTGATATTAGCTTTTCCTAAACCCTAAAAAAATTCATTTATTTTTTTTACTTGCTCCTGTTTGGGGGTCTAGATTTGCAAATATCATTTTCATGCAGGAAAATCTGGATTGCTGTCAATCTGACAGCCTCTTGAAGGTAAATCTAGAGAAGAGCTTTGATTGCACAAAATTAATTAGGTGTTCTTTTCATTTTAATTTCTGTTATTATTTTTACAGGTACTTGTGTTTACAGCCTATTTCTTTATTAGCGTAGCAGTATTACATAAAATTGGATTAGGATTGGACCAGAAACTCTCCATGCCTGATGTTAGTATAGCATTTACAGAAAAGGACTTGTTTAGCTAAGGGTCTGCTTAGGTTATATTATGGATTACAAATGTGTCGAGTTTTGTGATTGGATAACAACACAGAGATGTCAGCATATATTCAGGAAACTGCCAAATCACGCAATTTACACTCCAAATACTTAAAATTAATGTTTTAAAGTGTTATTTGAATTATTACATACATGATAAAATTATTTTCACAGCAAATTACAAAATCCTTCACGTATGTGGAAAATATCAGGTTGGGTTTTAACTATATTTGTTATGAAAAATAGCTATATATAGTCAAACAAACTTACAAACAGTAAACAAGAAATCTAAAAACTTTGTTGAAAATATATTCTTAACGAAAAAAATGTTTGTCAAGATGAAAAAAAAGTGCATTTATATGAATTACCCAAAACATTAAGAAAAAAAAAACCATGGTAATAAATATATATATACTGCATGTGAATGTTTAACAAATACCTTGTACTGAAAAAAAACCCATTATGGCAGGGGTCATCAGTAATATACATAATATTTTTATGCCTTGCCATTTTAACTTTTGCCCTTGTCCGTCTGTACGTCCACACGTACGTCCTCAAATTGGTTTCTGTTCCCTAACTTTAGTTAGCTTCATCTAAATGTTATGAGACTTTTTATACACAATGATTATTACCACAAATCACAGATCAAGTTTGAATTTGTTTGTTTGATGTTTTGTCATAAAAGTCGGATGGTTGTGTCTTTGAATTGTTTCACATTTTGCCTTGTTGGGGTCTTTTATAGCTGACTACACAATAAGGGTTCTGCTCATTGTTGAAGGATGTATTGTGACCTAGAGTTGTTTACGCTTTTCCTCTTTGTCTCTGGTGGATAGTTGTTTCATTGGCAATCATACCACACGTCCTCAATCTTATATGTAAAAATGTCAAAGTTTTGATGGTTGTTTTGTTTAGAACAGAGTAGTGGCGGCTCATTAATGCCCAGTTTTAACCCAAGAAAATAAAATGTATTACAACTTTTTAAAATTGGCACATAATGTTTGGAAATGCATGGAGGCAAGAAAAATAAATAAAAAAAACAAGATTTTTTATCTGATGATGTCACAATTATGTCATTATATATACCGTTTTCATGAAATATGAAACAATGAAAAATACAGAATTCATGCAGATTTCCATCGTTATTTCCATTATGGAAACATCGTTGACAGCCAATAAACAACAAAATAATTTAAGAGAAGCTTTATTATAACCATTGACATAATTTCACCAAATATAAAGCTGTTTCTTGGGTGCGCACATACTTTGCCAATCTAAAATGAGCTTAAGATTTGATGAAAAACAAGGAAAATCAAGAAATTTTACAAAATATACAAATTTCGTCATAGTTTGTTGCCATGGTAACTCGTTAAATTTGAAATTTGTTTTTATTTTCTAAACACCTAGTACCTTAGTCTTGTTAGGAAAAATTATAGAATGAGTATGATAACTTTCAAATCTGCAGATATATTTGGGCCAAATAAGCTCTTTATTGCCCCTACTCCTTTTCATTCTCCAAATGATTTTGCAATTTTTAGCCTAGTGTCTGTTAAATACTTTTGGTGGTCAGTTCTGTTGGTTAATTTCACAGCAAAGTTTTTCTACAAATTTGTTTGATATTTTGACTTCTAGGACTCTTATGTATTGAGATATTTTGGAAATGAATCTACATACCTCCATGTCGGTGCACCTGTGTACTTTGTTGTGAGAGAAGGACACGATTACACAACAATGCAAGGACAGAATGCTCTGTGTGGGGGCAATGGATGTCCTCAAGACTCACTGGTTGGTCAGCTCTACACTGCCAGTAAATTAGCTAACTAGTGAGTATATTTTAAGGGAAAAACATTACAGTAGCTTTAATGAGGACATTTTGGAAAACAAGATATGAGCAGTAATCAGGAAGGTCGAGCGCCATGTGCAAATTGCGTATATCAACCAGAAATGGCGCAGAGAGTGGCAAATGTAAGCGCTAGTGTGGCACACGAAATTTTTTGCTTCGTATGTTAACGTTTAGATATCGTAAAATGGATTTCAGATGTCGCCATATTTGTGTACAAAACTGTGTTGTGTTCCCTCCAATGACAGGAGCACCACCTGTATATTTTTTGGACGTCTCAGGCGTTTTCCATCATGTTTAGTAGCAGCATGCGGTATATAACTCATTACCAAAAAACGTAATTAACCACCATCCATGATCTAAATTTTCAAAGAAAACAACTTTAATTCTATGATAGTTGGCTACTATAGACGAGAAATTTTCTCAAATTATAATCTTAAAAGTAAACTTGCTATAATTACGATTGAAAAACCCAAAGGCCTTTTTTTAATATAGTATTTGTCTCCGTAAATGGCGCTTAGCTGTCCTTGTCAATTTTTATACGACCGCAAAAATTTGTCGTATATTGATATCATGTCGTTGTCGTCGTCGTCGTCCAAAGATATTGGTTTCCGAACAATAACTTTAGTATAAGTAAAAAGAAATCTTTGAAATTTAAACACAAGGTTAATAACCAAAAAAGGACGGTTGGGATTGATTTTGGGGGTAATGGTCCCAACAGTTTAGGAATAAGGGGCCAAAAGGGGGCCCAAATAAGCATTTTTCTAGTTTCAAGACAATAACTTGTGGAACGGTGTATGAATCTCTCTGAAATTATACCACAAGTTTCCATACCACAAAGGGATGGTTAGGATTGACTTTGGGGGGTTATGGCTAAAACCGTTAAGGAATTAGTGGGAAAAACAAGGGTTTCCTGGTTAATGGACAATTTAAAAGCAGCGTAAGGGAGGTAATCCAAACACATTTAAAGTACAATGTTGTGTATGTTTGGATTACCTCCCTTACACTGCTTTTAAATTATGTATAAAGAAATGTTGTATTGTCTTGAGGTGATTAGCTGTCAATTTATTCTTAGAAGTTACTATTAAAGGAATATTAATTTTAGCCATGATTATGTATGTCATTTTCTATTTTAAGACTTTTATGATGTATTTAAATGGGTAATTTTGGTTGAAAACTCCATTGGAAATTTGAATTGAGATTATGACCATATCTTGAGGGGAAGATATTTTTTTTTGGAAAAAGGGGGGGGGGGGACAATTTCTTCTCATTTCAGATTTATTTTTTTGGGGGGGAGGGGGGGGGGGTCAATTCGCAACAGCATAGTGTATTGCACAAAAGCAAAAAATTTAATATAAATTCAAATCATATAACCAATTGTAAGTTCTTTGACTACAGTTATTCTGTGTCAGAAACCTATTATGTGTCAATGTTTAATTACAATCCAAATTCAGACCTCTATTATGCGCGAATATTGGGTCCATTTTTGCCCCAACTGTTCATGGTTGGACCTCTGCGGTCATATCCAGCAGCGCTCAGCGAAGCATTTTATTATTTTTGCCAAACCTATCCTGCTGGAATTTTATATTTCTGAATTTACAGTAGAACTTTGTAATCATAATTTCAGTAGAAAAGCATTAATGATAATTACAATGTCTGTGGTTTGATGGAATCTAATCCACTACATCTTACACAGGAGACCAGCAGGATACTATGAAATAAAAGTCTAGTGGCTGCGTAAAAAAATAAGAAAAAACATCAGGGAATTTTCTTCCTTGGAAATATGAGAAATCATATTATGAAATTTATAGAAAGATTGAAGTCTGTTGTCATTATGTAGGAATTACACATTTGTCATTGAGGCAAAGTCTGTTGTCATTATGTAGGAACTACACATTTGTCATTGAGGCAAAGTCTGTTGTCATTATGTAGGAACTACACATTTGTAATTGAGGCAAAGTCTGTTGTCATTATGTAGGAACTACACATTTGTCATTGAGGCAAAGTCTGTTGTCATTATGTAGGAACTACACATTTGTCATTGAGGCAAAGTCTGTTGTCATTATGTAGGAACTACACATTTGTCATTGAGTCAAAGTCTGTTGTCATTATGTAGGAACTACACATTTGTCATTGAGGCAAAGTCTGTTGTCATTATGTAGGAACTACACATTTGTCATTGAGGCAAAGTCTGTTGTCATTATGTAGGAACTACGCATTTGTCATTGAGGCAAAGTCTGTTGTCATTATGTAGGAATTACACATTTGTCATTGAGTCAAAGTCTGTTGTCATTATGTAGGAACTACACATTTGTCATTGAGGCAAAGTCTGTTGTCATTATGTAGGAACTACACATTTGTCATTGAGTCAAAGTCTGTTGTCATTATGTAGGAACTACGCATTTGTCATTGAGGCAAAGTCTGTTGTCATTATGTAGGAACTACGCATTTGTCATTGAGGCAAAGTCTGTTGTCATTATGTAGGAACTACGCATTTGTCATTGAGGCAAAGTCTGTTGTCATTATGTAGGAACTACGCATTTGTCATTGAGGCAAAGTCTGTTGTCATTATGTAGGAACTACACATTTGTCATTGAGGCAAAGTCTGTTGTCATTATGTAGGAACTACACATTTGTCATTGAGGCAAAGTCTGTTGTCATTATGTAGGAACTACACATTTGTCATTGAGGCAAAGTCTGTTGTCATTATGTAGGAACTACACATTTGTCATTGAGGCAAAGTCTGTTGTCATTATGTAGGAACTACACATTTGTCATTGAGGCAAAGTCTGTTGTCATTATGTAGGAACTACACATTTGTCATTGAGGCAAAGTCTGTTGTCATTATGTAGGAACTACGCATTTGTCATTGAGGCAAAGTCTGTTGTCATTATGTAGGAACTACGCATTTGTCATTGAGGCAAAGTCTGTTGTCATTATGTAGGAACTACGCATTTGTCATTGAGTCAAAGTCTGTTGTCATTATGTAGGAACTACGCATTTGTCATTGAGGCAAAGTCTGTTGTCATTATGTAGGAACTACGCATTTGTCATTGAGTCAAAGTCTGTTGTCATTATGTAGGAACTACGCATTTGTCATTGAGTCAAAGTCTGTTGTCATTATGTAGGAACTACACATTTGTCATTGAGGCAAAGTCTGTTGTCATTATGTAGGAACTACACATTTGTCATTGAGGCAAAGTCTGTTGTCATTATGTAGGAACTACACATTTGTCATTGAGGCAAAGTCTGTTGTCATTATGTAGGAACTACACATTTGTCTTTGAGGCAAAGTCTGTTGTCATTATGTAGGAACTACGCATTTGTCATTGAGGCAAAGTCTGTTGTCATTATGTAGGAATTACACATTTGTCATTGAGGCAAAGTCTGTTGTCATTATGTAGGAACTACGCATTTGTCATTGAGGCAAAGTCTGTTGTCATTATGTAGGAACTACGCATTTGTCATTGAGGCAAAGTCTGTTGTCATTATGTAGGAATTACGCATTTGTCATTGAGTCAAAGTCTGTTGTCATTATGTAGGAACTACGCATTTGTCATTGAGGCAAAGTCTGTTGTCATTATGTAGGAATTACACATTTGTCATTGAGTCAAAGTCTGTTGTCATTATGTAGGAACTACGCATTTGTCATTGAGGCAAAGTCTGTTGTCATTAAGTAGGAATTACACATTTGTCATTGAGGCAAAGTCTGTTGTCATTATGTAGGAACTACACATTTGTCATTGAGGCAAAGTCTGTTGTCATTATGTAGGAACTACACATTTGTCATTGAGGCAAAGTCTGTTGTCATTATGTAGGAACTACACATTTGTCATTGAGGCAAAGTCTGTTGTCATTATGTAGGAATTACACATTTGTCATTGAGGCAAAGTCTGTTGTCATTATGTAGGAACTACACATTTGTCATTGAGGCAAAGTCTGTTGTCATTATGTAGGAACTACGCATTTGTCATTGAGGCAAAGTCTGTTGTCATTAAGTAGGAATTACACATTTGTCATTGAGGCAAAGTCTGTTGTCATTATGTAGGAACTACACATTTGTCATTGAGGCAAAGTCTGTTGTCATTATGTAGGAACTACACATTTGTCATTGAGTCAAAGTCTGTTGTCATTATGTAGGAACTACACATTTGTCATTGAGGCAAAGTCTGTTGTCATTATGTAGGAATTACACATTTGTCATTGAGTCAAAGTCTGTTGTCATTATGTAGGAACTACACATTTGTCATTGAGGCAAAGTCTTGATTAAATTTGATTTGTGGTCAACTTTGACGACTTAAAGTGTTATGAAAGTTGATTAAAAATACCAATTTTCCAACCTCTTTTTCAGTACATATATAGCCCAGCCTACTTCTTCCTGGATAGATGATTTCTTTGATTGGTTGGCTCCAGGAGGAAGTCCTCCCTGTTGTAGACTGTTCCCTAATGGTACTTTCTGTCCTGCTACAGTAGGTAAGTATCATAACAGAATTCGGTCTTGTATGTTCAACATTTTTTACTCCAAAACTCAAATTGTCAGACAGGACTGAAAAAGACTGTTCCCAAATGGTACTTTCTGTCCTGCTACAGTAGGTAAGTATCATAACAGAATTCGGTCTTGTATGTTCAACATTTTTTACTCCAAAACTCAAATTGTCAGACAGGACTGAAAATTATACAGTGCTAAACTCAAGATTTAAGATATGATGAAAATTCTTCCAATTTTGTGTAAGTTTTGCACTATGTTTTTATCTTAACAAAGTATAGGGAACCTTATTTTCTTTATGTTTGAAACAAAAAAATCATACTTAATGAATTTTTGTCTTAATCGTAGCTACTGCTATATTAAAGTATTTTACATAAAAACAACTTTTTATTTTAATATTAAAGTAGTATTCATATGTTATAAGTAAAAATAAAGGATTTTCACAGACTTTCACTAAATTTGTATATCATATACCCTAAGTTATTCAATTTCCAGTTTTGAAAAATAATCTTTTGCAAATTTTTTGGTGATAATTCTGCATATTTTCATACTTCTGAAGTGGCCCAAAGTCATTTGTTAACAATTTTCAACTTATTTTTGATGAATAGAAGCAAATTTTCCCATAGAAATACCACAAACTACCATATACAACTTGGTACTTACCTTAGTTTTACCAAGTGGCAAAATACTTTTTTTGTAGAAGGGAGAGGTGAAGTGGATGAAGGTTAGAGAAAGTTATCTCAAATAGTGGTTTAACTTGTATTACCTCCCTTATACCATTTCCTTAAAGGTTATTCAATAGTTGGATTATCTTTGGGAGGGCTGAAGGTTAGAGAAAGCTATCTCAAATAGTGGTTTTACTTGTATTACCTCCCTTATACCATTTCCTTAAAGATTATTTAATAGTTGGATTATCTTTGGGAGGGCTGAAGGTTAGAGAAAGCTATCTCAAAAAGTGGTTTTACTTGTATTACCTCCCTTATACCATTTCCTTAAAGGTTATTTAATAGTTGGATTATCTTAGGGAGGGCTGAAGGTTAGAGAAAGCTATCTCAAATAGTGGTTTTACTTGTATTACCTCCCTTATACCATTTCCTTCAAGGTTATTTAATACATGTAGTTGGATTATCTTAGGGAGAGGATGAAGGTTAGAGAAAGCTATCTGAAATAGTGGTTTTACTTGTATTACCTCATACCATTTCCTTAAAGGTTATTTAATAGTTGGATTATCTTTGGGAGGGCTGAAGGTTACAGAAAGCTATCTCAAATAGTGGTTTTACTTGTATTACCTCCCTTATACCATTTCCTTAAAGATTATTTAATAGTTGGATTATCTTTGGGAGGGCTGAAGGTTAGAGAAAGCTATCTCAAAAAGTGGTTTTACTTGTATTACCTCCCTTATACCATTTCCTTAAAGGTTATTTAATAGTTGGATTATCTTAGGGAGGGCTGAAGGTTAGAGAAAGCTATCTCAAATAGTGGTTTTACTTGTATTACCTCCCTTATACCATTTCCTTCAAGGTTATTTAATACATGTAGTTGGATTATCTTAGGGAGAGGATGAAGGTTAGAGAAAGCTATCTGAAATAGTGGTTTTACTTGTATTACCTCATACCATTTCCTTAAAGGTTATTTAATAGTTGGATTATCTTAGGGAGGGCTGAAGGTTAGAGAAAGCTATCTCAAATAATGGTTTTACTTGTATTACCTCCCTTATACCATTTCCTTAAAGGTTATTTAATAGTTGGATTATCTTTGGGAGGGCTGAAGGTTAGAGAAAGCTATCTCAAATAGTGGTTTTACTTGTATTACCTCCCTTATACCATTTCCTTAAAGGTTATTTAATAGTTGGATTATCTTTGGGAGGGCTGAAGGTTAGAGAAAGCTATCTCAAATAGTGGTTTTACTTGTATTACCTCCCTTATACCATTTCCTTAAAGATTATTTAATAGTTGGATTATCTTTGGGAGGGCTGAAGGTTAGAGAAAGCTATCTCAAAAAGTGGTTTTACTTGTATTACCTCCCTTATACCATTTCCTTAAAGGTTATTTAATAGTTGGATTATCTTAGGGAGGGCTGAAGGTTAGAGAAAGCTATCTCAAATAGTGGTTTTACTTGTATTACCTCCCTTATACCATTTCCTTCAAGGTTATTTAATACATGTAGTTGGATTATCTTAGGGAGAGGATGAAGGTTAGAGAAAGCTATCTGAAATAGTGGTTTTACTTGTATTACCTCATACCATTTCCTTAAAGGTTATTTAATAGTTGGATTATCTTAGGGAGGACTGAAGGTTAGAGAAAGCTATCTCAAATAGTGGTTTTACTTGTATTACCTCCCTTATACCATTTCCTTAAAGGTTATTTAATAGTTGGATTTTCTTAGGGAGGGCTGAAGGTTAGAGAAAGCTATCTCAAATAGTGGTTTTACTTGTTTTACCTCCCTTATACCATTTCCTTCAAGATTATTTAATACATGTAGTTTGATTATCTTAGGGAGGGGATGAAGGTTAGAGAAAGTTATCTCAAATAGTGGTTTTACTTGTATTACCTCCCTTATACCATTTCCTTCAAGGTTATTTAATACATGTAGTTGGATTATCTTAGGGAAGGGATGAAGGTTAGAGAAAGTTATCTCAAATAGTGGTTTTACTTGTATTACCTCCCTTATACCATTTCCTTCAAGGTTATTTAATAGTTGGATTATCTTAGGGAGGGGATGAAGGTTAGAGAAAGTTATCTCAAATAGTGGTTTTAATTGTATTACCTCCCTTATACCATTTCCTTGAAGGTTATTTAATAGTTTGATTATCTTAGGGAGGGGATGAAGGTTAGAGAAAGCTATCTCAAATAGTGGTTTTACTTGTATTACCTCCCTTATACCATTTTCTTGAAGGTTATTTAATAGTTTGATTATCTTAGGGAGGGGATGAAGGTTAGAGAAAGCTATCTCAAATAGTGGTTTTACTTGTATTACCTCCCTTATACCATTTCCTTCAAGGTTATTTAATAGTTTGATTATCTTAGGGAGGGGATGAAGGTTAGAGAAAGCTATCTCAAATAGTGGTTTTACTTGTATTACCTCCCTTATACCATTTCCTTCAAGGTTATTTAATAGTTTGATTATCTTAGGGAGGGGATGAAGGTTAGAGAAAGCTATCTCAAATAGTGGTTTTACTTGTATTACCTCCCTTATACCATTTCCTTAAAGGTTATTTAATAGTTTGATTATCTTAGGGAGGGCTGAAGGTTAGAGAAAGCTATCTCAAATAGTGGTTTTACTTGTATTACCTCCCTTATACCATTTCCTTCAAGGTTATTTAATAGTTGGATTATCTTAGGGGAGGGCTGAAGGTTAGAGAAAGTTATCTCAAATAGTGGTTTTACTTGTATTACCTCCCTTATACCATTTCCTTAAAGGTTATTTAATAGTTGGATTATTTTAATTCTTTCAGTTGACAAAACCTGTACAGCTTGTCCTGTGCACAAAAAACCTGATGGAAGACCCACTCCACAAGATTTCATGAAATATCTACCAATTTACTTGAAGGATAATCCAGGGACCAAATGTGCTAAAGGGTAAGTCATAAAACTTTACTCTGTTCTCTGATTACAAGATTTGTGTACCAAACATAAAATCAGTACTGTGGATTCATTATTATTCGTTGGATACTAATACTAATTTCAACAATTTCTTGGGTACAAGTGAACCATAAATTTAAATGTTCAATAAGGTGGTATGCAGACTTTGGCAAAACCACGAAATTAAATATCCACGAAAATGCAAGTTTTTCTCAAAAATTTGTACCCACAAAGATAAATGAATCCACAGTATTTTGATTGGTTGATTTCCGAGTCTGAGTACAATAATCATACTCAAAAGTTCTCTGGTCTCAAGGCCTAGTGTTTGACTGGATTATTTAAGGTACTGGTGGAAGTATTGGATATTTTGAACTTTTCTTCTATTGACCGTAAGACTTTCCAATGATTGACTTGACAAAGTTTTGTAATTATCATCTTTTAGATTGTTGAATCATTAATATTATCTTTAGAGTGTAAATCAATTTGTTGAATATTTCGGTAAATTATCCATATCCTGTGCCTCTGGGTGAAATCATTTTTAAACGACCGCAAAAAATTTTGCGGTCGTATATTGGTATCACGTTGTCGTCGTTAGCGTCGTCCCAAGACATTTGGTTTCCGGACAATAACTTTAGTTAATGTAAATAGAAATCTATGAAATTTAAACACAAGGTTTATAACCACAAAAGGAAGGTTGGGATTGATTTTTGGGGTTATAGTCTTAACAGTTTAGGAATTAGGGGCCAAAAAAGGGGCCCAAATAAGAATTTTCCAGTTTCCAGACAATTACTTGTGGAACGGTGTATGGATCTCTCTGAAATTATACCACAAGTTTCCATACCGCAAAGGGATGGTTAGGATTGGCTTTGGGGGTTATGGCTCAAACCGTTTAGGAATTAGGGGCAAAAAAGGGGAAAAAACAAGGGTTTCCTGGTTAATGGACAATTAAAAAAAAGTACAATGTTAAGTTTGGATTACCTCCCTTCAACTGCTTTTAAATTATGTATAAAGAAATGTTGTATTGTCTTGAGATGATTAGCTATCAATTTATTTTTAGAAGTTACTATTTAAAAATGCTGATTAAGGAATATTTAATATATTAATTTTAGCCATGATTATGTATGTCATTTTTTATTTTAAGACTTTTATGATGTATTTAAATGGGTAATTATGGTTGCAAACTCCATATCTTGAGGGAAAGAAATTTTTTTTTGGAAAAGGGAGGGGGAGGTGAAAAACAATTGTAGGGGGGGGGGGGGGAAAGAAATTGTGAGGGGGGGACAATTTTTTCTCATTTCAGATTTCAGAAACTAAAAAGAAAATTTCTTCCAATATTTTTTTTTTGCTAAAAAAAAGGGGGGGGGGGGGGGTCAATTCACAACAGCATAAAAGCAAAAAAAAAGGGGATGACATTTTTTTTTTGGGGGGGGGGGTCAATTTGCAACAGCATAGTGTATTGCACAAAAGCAAAAAAAAAGGGGGGGTAAATTTTATTTTTTTTGGGGTGGAGGGGGGGGTCAATTCGCAACAGCATAGTGTATTGCACAAAAGCATAAAATTGAATATGAATTCAAATAACCAATTCTAAGTTCTTAGACTACAGTTATTCTGTGTCAGAAACCTATTATGTGTCAAATATTTAATTACAATCCAAATTCAGACCTGTATCAAGCGTGAATATTGTGTCAATTTTTGCCCCAACTGTTCATGGTTGGACCTCTGCGGTGGTATCCAGCTGCGCTCAGCGAAGCAATTTATTGTCTGATGGTAACCGTGGTATTCTTATCTGCTACCGTTTGTTAGGAAGAGGAATGAAATTGGAAACATTGTTCTACTGGAACCCTGCTTGTATTGCTCTTGTGCCTACTGCTGTATATGCTTAGTAGAGTAGCAGCAAAGGACATTTCAAACATATTTGTACATAAATTGGGCCGTTAGTTTTCTCATTTGAATTGTTTTACATTGTCATTTCGGGGCCTTTTATAGCTGACTGTGCGGTATGGGCTTTGCTCATTGTTGAAGGCCGTACAGTGACCTATAGTTGTTAATTTCGTGTCATTTGGTCTCTTGTGGAGAGTTGTCTCATTGGCAATCATACCACATCTTCTTTTTTATATTGAATTGACACAGATATGGATCAAACATTTGACCTCCTACACTCAAGGTGAGCAAGGGACTGAAACTAGGCCAAAGTAAAAAAACTATCTATCTGAACTATACAGCATCCAAATGGTCCATCTGTTCTTATGCAGATCTATACAGCATCCAAATGGTCCATCTGTTCTTATGCCGAGCTATACAGCATCCAAATGGTCCATCTGTTCTTATGCAGATCTATACAGCATCCAAATGGTCCATCTGTTCTTATGCCGAGCTATACAGCATCCAAATGGTCCATCTGTTCTTATGCAGAGCTATACAGCATCCAAATGGTCCATCTGTTCTTATGCAGAGCTATATAGCATCCAAATGTGGTCCATCTGTTCTTATGCAGAACTATACAGCATCCAAATGGTCCATCTGTTCTTATGCAGAACTATACAGCATCCAAATGGTCCATCTGTTCTTATGCAGAACTATACAACATCCAAATGGTCCATCTGTTCTTATGCAGAACTATACAACATCCAAATGGTCCATCTATTCTTATGCCGAGCTATACAGCATCCAAATGGTCCATCTGTTCTTATGCCGAGCTATACAGCATCCAAATGGTCCATCTGTTCTTATGCCGAGCTATATAGCACTCAAATGGTCCATCTGTTCTTATGCAGAGCTATACAGCATCCAAATGGTCCATCTGTTCTTATGCAGAACTATACAGCATCCAAATGGTCCATCTGTTCTTATGCAGAACTATACAACATCCAAATGGTCCATCTGTTCTTATGCAGAGCTATACAGCATCCAAATGGTCCATCTGTTCTTATGCAGAACTATACAGCATCCAAATGGTCCATCTGTTCTTATGCAGAACTATACAACATCCAAATGGTCCATCTGTTCTTATGCAGAACTATACAGCATCCAAATGTTCCATCTGTTCTTATGCAGAACTATACAGCATCCAAATGTTCCATCTGTTCTTATGCAGAACTATACAGCATCCAAATGGTCCATCTGTTCTTATGCAGAAGTATACAGCATCCAAATGGTCCATCTGTTCTTATGCAGAACTATACGGCATCCAAATGGTCCATCTGTTCTTATGCAGAACTTAACAGCATCCAAAGGATCCATCTGTATGCTCAAGACAATCCAAGATTTACAAGGGTTACCTCTACAGGGACTGCACTGACCTGCAAAAAGCATTTTTTTTCGTCCAGCTTCAGTATATTTGCGTCAAGTTCAATGTATTCCCCTATTTTTATACGACCGTATGACTGGCCTCGGCGTCTTCGTTGTCCGTCGTCGTTGTCGTCGTCCAAAGACACATTGGTTTTTGCACAATAACTTTAGTTTAAGTGAATGGATCTCTATGAAATTTTACCATAAGGTTCAATACCACAAAAGGAAGGTTGGGATTGATTTTTGGGGTTATGGTACCAACAGTTAAGGAATTAGGGGCCAAAAATAAGCATTTATGTAACTTCCAGACAATAACTTGTGTATGGATCTCTCTGACATTGAACCACAAGGTTCCATATCACAAAGGGAATTCTGGGATTGATTTTGGGGGTAATTGCCTCAAAATTTTAGGAATTAGGGGCAAAAAAACAAGCATTTTTCTAGTTTTCATGACAATAACTTGTGTGTAAGTGTATGGATCTTTCTAAAATTGTACTACAAGGTTCCATATCACAAAGGGAAAGCTGGAATTAAGTTTGGGGGTATTTGCCCAAAACGTTTAGGAATAAGGGGCAAAAAATAAGCATTTTTCTAAGTTTCCAGACAATAACTTGTGTTCAAGTGTATGGATCTCTCTAAAATTGTACTGCAAGGTACCATACCACAAAGGGAAGCTGGGATTGATTTTGGGGGTAATTGCCTCAAAATTTTAGGAATTAGGGGCCAAAAAGGGGCAAAAAACAAGCATTTTTCTAGTTTCAGGACAATAACTTGTGTGTAAGTTAATGGATCTTTATGAAATTGTACTACAAGGTTCCATATCACAAAGGGAAAGCTGGGTTTGAGTTTGGGGTAATTGCCCTAAACGTGTAGGAATTTGGGGCCAAAAAGGGGCCAAAAAACAAGCATTTTTCTAGTTTCCAGACAATAACTTGTGTTCAAGTGTATGGATATCTCTGAAATTGTACTGCTAGGTATCATACCACAAAGGGAAGGCTGGGATTGAGTTTGGGGGTGATGAATCATAAGGGGGTTCAAAAAATTTGGGGGGGATTTTTTTTTCTTTTTTTTTTTTTTTTTTTCCTTTTTTTCCTTTTTTTTTCTTCTTTAAAATGTTTCCATTTTAAGTTGGTTATTTCTGATTTATATATAAAAGCAAATAATAATGATATGGTTTGAATAGGTAAATTAAAATTTTTTAAGTTCTTAGACCACATTCATTCTGTGTCAGAAACCTATGCTGTGTCAAATATTTAATCACAATCCAAATTCAGAGCTGTATCAAGCTTGAATGTTGTGACCATACTTACCCCAACTGTTCAGGGTTCTACCTCTGCGGTCGTATCAAGCTACGCCCAGCGGAGCATTTTATTCAGATATGTATCACATTTTGATATGCCTTCATTTGAGATATTAAATTTTTAAAATAAATGTTTCTTTGATCATCGTTAACCGTTGGAAGAGCCTTTTAAACTTCAGCAGCGAATGAATGTTTCTTTGCTCATCGTGAACCCTTGGAAAACCTTTTAAACTTTAACAGCAAGCACAACAGAACGTCATTGTTTGTTTACATTGAAACTGGAAGTGACACATTTTTACCTTGAAACTGGAAATGACACCTTTTTACCTTGAAACTGGAAGTGACACCTTTTTACCTTGAAACTGGAAGTGACACCTTTTTACATTGAAACTGGAAGTGACACCTTTTTACCTTCAAGAAACTGAATATTGATCATTTGACTGAACATCTTAGAAAAATAACAACAATGCACACTGTGACTTTTAATAATTTAAAATTAAAATGCAAATACATATGATATTTATTGCCAATAAAAGACACACACAAAAAATAGAAAAATTTATACATATTTTTCATAATGACTACAATTATTCATTGTGATAATACTGTAAATTCAGAAATTATTGCGATGTTTTTATTATTGCAAAAAATGCGACAGGGTTATCATCGCAATAATTAAAACTCGCATTTTGAAATTTTTTATATGAATCAAACAGGATTTTTCTGAATATCGCAAAAATTAAAATCCCATTTTAGTCTAAAATGACAAAATCGCAATAATAAATGCACGCAATAATTTCTGAATTTACAGTATTAAAAACTGAAATTATGATGTTATTGATGATAAGAACTATAATAAATGATGATAACCACAATAAGAGGATAAATATATATACTGAGTCAATTAATGGACAATCTGGACTATATTTAAAACAATAATGAATTGTAATGTACATCATAGGACTGTTCTGTTATGATCTTACAGGTATTAATAATCAAGATGTAAAACATGTGATCATTTTACACCAAATTTTAAAAATATCATTAAAAGTTCAATGATTATAGATTGTACTTTTTCTTCATTTGTTTCCACTTCAAGTTAATTAACAAATGTTCTTTAGGACTGGATAAGATGTGACACCTGTTAATCAATTTCATATTTTTTTGAGAGAGAATAAATGACCAAGGTGCTTATTGTAAATTGGTATATTTGATCACTTCAAGATCTAGAATATGTAAGACCTCTAAAATGTATGGATTCTCTAGCTTTATTACAAAGTAAAAAAATCATTCTTCAAAAAATACTTACAATTCAAGTGATGACGATACAATACAGATGTTGCTTTTGTGTGTTATTCTCAGCATTTTAAAATTTTAATTTCCATTTACAGTAAAACAAGAATCTACTGTGTTATTTTGTTGTATTTTTAAATCAATTGTTGAAATATGCAAATTTTGTTCTGTATGTTTTCCTTCATCTTCACTGTTATTTGTACTGCTTGACCAGTCGGGTTTGGGTATTTTTGAACATATGTAATTTTTTATCAGGTCCTGAAAAGCACACTTGAAATCTTTTCTTAACCAACAGTACATGAATGGATTAATAGCAGAATTGCACATGGCCAGGCTCAGTGCAAAGTTTTTTATTATGTTGAACAGATTTTTGGCAATCTTCACATATTTCAATGGTCCCGCTAGCATGAAAGGCACCCAAAATATGAAGAAGAAAAACAGAATGATGACCATTGCTTTCGCCGATTTTGTGTCTTTTGAGAATTGACGATTCAGTTGTGTCCCTTTCCTTTCTACCATCTTTTTATTGTGTTCTCGAGCCACTTTGTAAATATGGCAATATAAGTATAGTGAAATCAGTAAGCCTACTAGAATTGTTGTAGGTGCTGTGAACAGCGAGTAAGCTTGGGGTAGAACGACAAAAAAGTCACACACGGTGCCGTTATATTTATCATAATTGTTCCAGCCAAAGCTTGGCAGAGAGCCAATAATACCATGGTAAATCCAAACACATATTATAATTTTTTTTGCTCTCTGTTTAGTCATTAGTATTTGGTATTTCAACGGGTGTAAAATTGCAATGTAGCGATCAACTGCTATTACTACAAGGTTTATCAACGATGAACTCATGGAAAGTATGACTGATGAATACTTAAAGAGACATAAGTATTTCCACTTGTTCATACCAGTGTTTAGATAAAATAGTGCATACATTGGTAGAGTCAGTAGTCCGAGTAAGAAGTCAGACAGTGCAAGGCTTCCAATGAACATGTTCGTAGTGGTCCGTAATCGGCGGAATTTGAAGAGGGAGATAATAACTAAAGCATTGCCACCAATAACCAGAGGTGTGATCACAAGAGAGATAACTCCAAAAATAACATCCAAATTCTTATTCAGATTCTCATAGTCCTCTTCTAATGATGTTGTATTGTCCACAAGAAATGATTTGGATGTAGAAACTTCTGTAAGATTTTTGAAGAAAAAGTGGCTTGATGTCGATACATTAATGTTGGTCTCGCCAAATGTCTGAGCATGGCTGATTTCCTCTTGCGTTTCCATCCTGTATTCAGTGGTATTGTAACAGTTTTAATAATAAGACAAATATTTAGGTACAATTAGGATAGATACTAGTCTAAAGATGTTTCATGTGCATTGTTTTCTTCTTTTAACTAAATGACTGCTCACCTGAAACAAAATTGTTATATTTGATTTTGAAATGAATTTCAGCAAACATGTTTGAAAGGGAAAGGAGCTTGAGTAATGTAACACTACTCTTATTGTTTAAAGGAAGATTTGTAAAATAATATAGAAATGCAACAATGAGTAAAACCCATAAGGTATATAGCAAGCTATAAATGACTTGCCTTTAACAAAATGTGGAAACATTTCCAAAAAGAAAAAAAACAGCCTGATTTAAGCTGATGACATGAGATGTAAAACAATTATGACAGACAGCAACAATAACCACTTTTATACCTAAATTTAGGTAGTCAGGTGTCTTCTGCCATCTTGGATTACTAAATAGCAGAAGTCTAGATCTTAAACAAATATGCAAATTTTGATAGAGGAATCGATTGAATTTGCAGACCTATCATCTAAATAAAGGCAATATGTTTTTATGGCCCCGCAACACAGGTGTGTGGGCCATATAGTTTTACCCTTATCTGTCATTCTGTCATTCCACAACGACAATATGGACTTTTTCTCTAAACGCCTTCACATATTGAACTGATTTTTAGTATGTGAGTCTACCATGATAAGTTACAGATCAAGTTTATGTTTGGTTCCGCTCCATTGATTTTTACTGAAATTAGGGGCTTTGGACTTTGAAAGTGTCTTGAAAATAACAGTTATATGGACTTCTTTTTCTAAGACTCTTCACATATTGAGCTGATTTTTTTTATATGTGAGTCTTCTATGATGAGTTACAGATCAAGATCATGTTTGGTTCAGCTCCTAAAAATGGCTCCAAGCATTTTTTGGAACACGCCGGGGCCATAAGTGTTGTTCCGAAACTTCTATTTAATCTTGTTATTATGACTGTTTTACAAATACAGAATGTTTGATTCAACTTCTTAAAACTTAGTCATGTATATTTTATTATATTTTTGAAAATAGCATGATATAAATTACATTTTTGCAAAGTTTCAATTAAGCCCTCCTGATCGGAGTAGAATCAGGATTTCTATACATATCCCCGGTACATTCCTGCTTAGTTTTTGGTCAGTTTGATTAAGTGGTTTCAAAAAAAGTAATGAAAGTGTAAAATACTAACAGACTCTGGTGGAGAGTTGTCTCATTGGCAATCATACCACATCTTTTTATTTTTACATTTATGATTATGGATGTCAAATGACGATAACTGCTCTCATTGTCTATAAAGGGTGAGTAGGAACTTTGAACAGGGTTTTTATGCCCCAGCCGCAGCAGAGGAGATATTAAGGTGGATCAGCGGTATATATTTCCTCAGATAGAATATTTTTATACTTTGCCAAAATGAAGATTTCTCGATGCTTTTTTCTAAAATATAATAAAAAGTATGGGTCACCGTGCTACTTTTCAAGCTACAAGTCGTGCAAAATTGTACAAATTTGTATAGATTGTTCATGATAAAACAGATTTTTGTGAATAAATAGAAATCTATGAGATAGAATTTTAAAATAAAATATAAGAAGATAGGTTTTATAATATGCTTTAAGAAAATAAAAAGAAAAAATGGTGTCACCGAACTTGTTTTTTTGCTACAAGTAAAAAATGAAAATCATTCCAGTATAAAATTTTTACTATAAGAGTTATCTCCCCTTAAATGGCCAAGTTGAAAAATTGATTCTAAAAACATAATTATTTGGTTTTGTTTAAATATTTTGGATAATGCAATGAATCACTTGTTTTGTCTTTATACAAATAAGCAGTCTTACACATAGATTGCAAATCTGTCTCAAAATTTGAAGATTTAGGCAAAGAACTAGACCAATTGTGTACTGTTATTGTACAATCCAAGATGGCGGTATACAGTGAATCTACCTTAAGTGTTACCCTTGTCTGTCTTTACGTCCGTAGGCACATACGTCCCAAAATTTGTTTCCATTCTCTAACTTTAGTTTGCCTTAACCAAATGTTATGAAACTTACACACAATGCTTATTACCACAAAACACAGATAAAGTTGGAATTGTGGGGGGGGGGGGGGGGGGGGGGGGGGGCGTCACTTTTACCATTCTAGAGTTATGCCCCTTTACAAATGGAAAAATTACTAAATATTTCGTTTCCGTTCTCTAACTCAAGTTTGCCTCAACCAAATGTTATGAAACTTATACACAATGCTCATTACCACAAAACACAAATCAAGCACGAATTTGCAATTGGGTGCAGAGCTCCAGATAAGAATTCACAAATTGGGGTTTTTAACCACCATTTTTTTATGTAATTGGGTGATAAAGTTTTTTAATTGCATTATCAATTCCAATTCACCCCTCAAGCAAATATCAAATTGGGTTTTTCACCACCAAGCTCCTTAATGTATTGGGTTTTTTCATCAACACAATATTGAATATTAAGGCATGTTATAATCACATTATATCAACCCCAGATGTGTTTCTATCTTAAATATGTTTCTTTCTTTGTAAAATATGTGCTAGCTGTTTTATTTGGTTTTATTCACTGACGAGCAATTGTACATTTAATTTGTGTCCCGTTTTAAACGTTCTGTCAGTTTTGTATTTTCTCAAAACTTATGTAAACTGCAGCTGGCGTCACTAGTTGGACAGGAACTAATTGCCTTTCTAGATCCCATATGATCACCCTACAGTTTAATTATAGTTGGGGTAGGTGTGGCTAAGTTTTAGAAATTGTGTAATATATGTGAAATTTAGGTGCTGTAAGAAAGTTTTGCCAGTCCTTTCACCTATTTGCCAGATCTACTTTTTAATAAAAATAAAAAGTAGTTTCCAGATTTAAGATATACCCCAAAACCTTGAGGTTTATAGGGTGGTTTATAATGACGGAGACCACATTCAACTTAAATTTACAAATAATTCTGCAACATCAAGTAAATAAATGACAATGTTATACTGCACTTGCCAATAAGACAACTATCTTAAGCATCTAGAACAAAACAAAGAAAGTGTCAAGCTGCATTGACGTAAAAAACGGATATATGTTTATTCACTCATCAACTAAAATGAAAAAAATAATATATAAACTGTTTTTGTTTAATTAAATTTACATAAATCTGGGTTAAGTTGTCCCTTATCAGAACTTTTGGTTTCCGATGCTTTCAACTACATATCATGTCATAATTGATTTGGCCTTTCACTTTTTCCAACTGATTTCGTTTTTGACGGAACCCCGTGTTTATGGCTCTAGCAATGTTCTCGTTATGGTACGCAAACACGCCCGTGCGTTCAATGGCCGCTTCCTAAAATCATTAGCTGAGTCTTGTTATCATCATAACTTTCCCTCAGCTATCAAAAAGAAGCCGAAAACATGCTTCTATTCAATATTTTTACCGGACATTTATTTTTCGTTTTAATTCATTGTATGTTATGATAAATCCCGAGCAATTCGAAAAAATATGACAGCATGTCACACGCTAGTTGGATAAACGCCGAGAAGATCGAAATGTTTTGATAAACACGTGTACCTTTTGAGCAACGGAAAATTCCAACAGGGACCCATTGCAGCTACTTGATGCAGGGCTCTATTTTTAGAATGAAAGGACATTTCCAATTATAAATATTATAAAAATAGATTAACGCGACGACTGTAATCAAGTAAGGGTAAATAACGCAAACGATAGCGAATAAAAGCGTTAAGAACCCATGTTTTTGGCATATAATTGGGTTTTCCTTTGAATTAATTGGGTTATTGAACCCTGCAATAGGCAATTGCATTGGGTTTTTAATTATTTTTATTGCGTGATCACGCAAATACGCAGCTTATCTGGAGCTCTGTGGGTGGTGTCACTTTTACCGTTCTTGAGTTATGTCCCTTTATAATGTTATATCTTGCATATAAACTTATAAAGTTATAAAGGGACATAACTGACAAGAACGGTATCATCTGTGTCCCATAATTTTTTTTTTTTTTTGGGGAGGGGGGGGGCTAGGAATGTTCCCTCTAATTCAAGATGACATTATTTCTTTATGACTGACACTGTTTATGATTTATAATGTATCAAAAATGGATTACAATTTCTTTGAGATTTATGCATTTAAAAAGTTGGTTTTTTTTGGTGGCATAACAAATTCTCTTGATCTTTCCTAATAAATGTTTGAAAAGAAATAAGAGGTATATTTGGCAACCTAAAGATGTCTTTTGATATTTTTTTCATGAAATGTAGTAGAATAAGTATACAGAATTATAGGCAGCATAAACATGTCTCTTAATTTTCTTGTATGAAATTTTAGAGATAGAATAAAGGTGGACTGTATGAAAATTAAATTAGAAACAACTAGAATCTCAAAATATTTAGTTGAAACTTTATTTAAGATGCATGTTTTAAAAATATAGAAACATTTAAAAAAAAAAACTTTGCAAAGATGTTTAATGCATAGCCAAGGATAAAACCAAAGGGGTAACAAAGTACAAATAGTAAAGTTTAAAACATGAGTAGTGAACATCATCTTGAGGGTCTGAACGGGAAATTTCAATTCTGGTATACTTTAATTTTTGGACCAATATAGTCTATTCTTTTTTCTTTTTTTTTTTTACCATTATTAATTAATTATAAGGTCAGTCATAATTCAACAACATTTTTTGTAATAAACAAAGAAATTTAATAAGTAAGCAAATCAAATTAAATAATATTAGATATTAAATAGATTGAAAAAGTAAAGATAAATAAATAAATTCACAAAGTGACAATAAACAAATAGATTGAAAGAGTAAAACATAAATAAATAGATTTGACAAAGTAAACAATTAAATATTGTACACATCATACTCACTGCATTAACAGAAATCTTTCATGTCTTCAATGTGCAAAGTTATGAAATTTATTAATATTATATTCTCAGTTTAAAAATAATTCAATCATCAAATATGTGCAAAATTATCTAAATTGTGCAACTTCCAGTAGATTACATCAATATATTGAAAGAACACACTGTACAATAGTGTTTACAAATTAAAAGTTTAAAATGACACTGTGTTCAATAAACAAGTATTTAATGTGTCACG